GATGGACATTTAGGTTGCTTCCAATTCTTGGCTATTGTAAATAGTGCTGCGATAAACATAGGGGTGCATCTGTCTTTCTCAAACTTGATTTCTGCGTTCTTAGGGTAAATTCCTAGGAGTGGAATTCCTGGGTCAAATGGTAGGTCTGTTTTGAGCATTTTGATGAACTTCCATACTGCTTTCCACAATGGTTGAACTAATTTACATTCCCACCAGCAGTGTTAATTCCTAATGAATTTTAAAGTACTTGTTTGGGTATGGCCCTTAAATAGGCAGTAGAGCTAGAAATAGTCATGGTATGTGTGTGACAGTGCTGGGGAGCCAGAACTGCACGGGCAGACAACTAAAAAAAAGATAAAACATCACCACCTTGAAAAATGATTTATTAATGCTAATGGGAAACCACAACCAACTTGAGTCTGTAAGAATTATTGGTTCAACTCATCTTTTCCTTGAAAGCCTAAATGTTTATTACCACAAAAACTTGCGTTTCTGGACTGGATTAGTATTAAGGTTGCTCAATAAAAGAATTTACCATTAGAAAAACAAATAAAGAGTTTAGAAAAATGTATCTGAGACAGAAACTTAGACGCTTCCATTTTCAATATGGGAAAACCCAGAACTTAGAGAAAACAAACCTATCGTGTGTACAGTGTGTTTAGAAAGGAAGGCAGGAGACACGCAGAAGCCTGAGTAGAGAGAAGGGGGCAGAAAGCAGCCTACTGTGAACAAGTCTGCATGACTTTGTTAGGACATTGAGAGTTGCTGCTGATTCTTGGGCCTAATGAGATTCCCAGCTATGTCCTCTTATCCTTCTTAAGAGATTTTGCTACATTTTAAGTGTTAGAACCCTTCTTCCAGAGTATTTTTGTGGGTTATTTATTGATTTGGTGATTTTAAAACTACCGAGCACAAGCATAATAGCTTTAGTTGCTAAATAGTTAAATTGCAGTGGCCAATTAGGAAGGAATAGGGTCTGCTCAATATATGTTAGTACCTAGTGCTAATGGGAGAATAGAAATGTTGTGTTTAGAAAGAGTGGATTTGGGAGGGATCACCTCACTTCATCACTCTGAGAAAGCTACATGGGGAAACCTGAAGTGGTAACAAGAAACCTCTGTTGGAGCAGAGTCATAAAGAAATTTTAAGAATACAACATGGGGAAACAATAGAATAGCATCAGGGAACTGTGTGTTTGGAAAAAATAGTAATCATGGTTAATTGGGTTTAGGATCTTATTAGGCCCTTTGTGACCAGATGCCCTCTTGGCAGGCCATAAAAGCCAGCAGATGTCTGCAGAAATTTTGCTGACTGTTCAGATTCATTTAGGACAACTTTATACTCTTTCAGTATCAATTGGAAGATTTTTTTTCCCCTCCCTGATACTTTCACGGGGGAGCTTTTCAAGGCCCTTTTGAGGAATGGCAGGAACATGGGACAAGCATCGTGATTAATTTTTCTTGCCTATGATGCAAAATGCTGAGATAAAAATAATATAGTGAGAATAAGGAGGGATTCCATCTTAGAGCTAAAATTCTATTTTAAAAATCAGCGAGTTAGGTAAGATTCCTAACGTACTTTATTGTAGTTAACCAGCAACTGACCCTATCTTAAGGCAGGGCAAGCAATCCTAAATTATGTTTCCACTGCTTGCAGGTAGCCATTACCTTGGAGAAGAACAAGATCAAAAAATTCCTTGTGTTAAGTTTCTCTTACAGAATGTCTAGAAGACTGTGGATGATGACAATATCTTTCACTGTAGATAGACATCATGAGACCACAGTTACCTACCCTCCCTTGTCTCTTTACCCCATTCTTTAAATCCTTAAAAGACATGAATCCTAAGCATCCTAAGCCTTAAGCGTGCTTCTGGGGCTGCCCACACTCTTGTTTTGAAGGTGTACTTTGCCTTAAGTAAAGCTGCCTTGCTGTTCAAATTAATGCATTTTGTCTCTGCACTGTCCTAAGCCACTTGGGAGATTAGTAAGATACAACTTTTCCCAGTGGTAAGCGTCTTTGTTACTTTACTATTTCATTCAGTTTTTTAGACTTAATCACAAGTCTCTCTGTTCTACTCAGACAAGTAGGGAAGGGCTACTGAGATCTCTGATTTGGGCTTGCCAGTTCCCATCAAGTCAGTGACCCTGATGGGACTATGGCTGTACAATCATGCTCTTTAGTAGCCTTCCCTAAAATCTCCTTCCTTTGCTTTGGGGATGTTATCAGAACGTAGTCTCACTCCATCCAGTGCTCCACGGCTCCTGTAAATCCTGGGGTGATAGGGGCTTAGTTGCCACACCATGCAGATTCAAGCAGACACTGGATGCCGGGTGACCCTGGCTTTACAAGTTGGCAAGGTGCCGGAGTCCAGCTCCAGCCGAGGTGTGGGTCACGAAAGAAAGGACAGCGTGGGCGAGTGAGGAGACGAAACACCTGATCAAGGTTGTAACATCTCCCGACATCAAGCAACAGGGTCTTTATTTTTATATCTTTTAAAGGTTTACATAATGTTAAACATTTTTCTTTAATCATGAATAGTACAATTCTTTTCCTGTCAATTTACATAATTCCAGCTTATTACCCTTAAGTAAATAGCGTCATTTCTTTAAACTTTCCCCTAGTCTATTGTGATTAGTTATTCATAAAAGCTGCATGCTAAGTGCTAAACAGGAAATGGCATAAGACAGTGTGTGAGCTAAGCGTGTGGGCTATGATTTTTACTTTAAGCGTGTAAGATTATATAGTGTTTAAGATATGTGTCTAAAATATGTGTCTAAAGCTATATAAAGTTTAAGCAGGTTATATAAAATGCAAGCTATATTAAGTGTAAATATATTATTAATTAAATCCTATCCTACACATGTGGGTTGAGGCTCACATCTAAAATCTAGGGATGGTACTCTTATCACCCATTCCTCAACATTTCTACAAATACAATAAAAACATCTTATCCTTTCATAATATTCATTCCACAATTTTAGATGTTTACACCTCTCCTTCTGCATTTACAGGCACTAGGGCCTTGCAGTCCTCTTTAATCTTTCATATAATGATACTAAATCTGCTCTTAACTACCTTACCATTAATATAATAATATTTTATCATAAATTTATTATAAACTTCTATATATGGGATAATTATAAATGTAAATCTTATTTTACTCATAACTTCTTTCTTCAAGGGGAATACTCTTCTAATGTTATAAGCAACATAAAAGGGGGGCCCTGGGTAGTAGGGACTATTAATCTCTTTTTATTACTTTGCTATTTCATATAAATTTCTTGGGAAAATGGTTTTTTTCCATGGGAGTTTCTCCATGCCCCAGGTTCCTATAACTTCTTCTCTGCCAATATTCTAAAGAAATTCTGGTTAGTCCTGTTTCAGTTGTTACGAAGGAAGGAACAAACCGCATCTAGTTTTGAGAGGCCTGGGCTGTTCTGCCTCACTTCTTCATGGCAGTATGCCTGGAACAGTTGGTCCCATAACACTGCTTCCATTTCTGGAATTGCTGCTTTGATCAATATTTTGGGTTATGTTATTTACTAAAGATTAATAAAAAATACATAAGATTTCCCATATATGAGCCCCATCACCAACATCATAACTGCAAAAATAAGTGGGAATTAGCAGAGGCCAGCTATGAGGTTTCCCGTTTTCAGGATTCCTCCTCATGCCTGGACCTTGTCAAACAGCATGAGCAGCATGGCCCGTGCCAGCAAGGGATTTGCCCTGTGTCTAATAGGAGTTCAGTGAACTTCCCTTTCTTCCTGCTTTCACTACTCCTCGGGTTTTAATGAATTCCTTCCTTACCTACACTCATCTGACCTGTTAGTGAATTCTTTTGTGATCAGAGTCAAAATCCTTCCGAGTCCAGGCTGAAGTTGCACCTAGTGTGCAGGGAGAGGTATCCCAAGATGCAGCTGCCCCCCAACACTATTCCAGAATTGGTTTTTAATTATGTATACATGGCTAGTGAGTGCCTGGGGCAGCATGCCCCCTTTCTCCTTTGGCAAAACATAATAGTGCAAGAACCAAAGGGAAGGGAGCCTTGCCTCTGCTTTGTGTTTTTAGCTCCAAAGAGGGGGCCTCTTGATCAACATCCAGATATTACCTCGGTCATGTGATTGATAGTGACTCCTGGTATGCAAATTATAGATGTCCCACCTGCCCTTAGGTCTTTGTGTGGGAATGTTGACTGATTACAAGACAGGAGGAGAAAATAGGTTCAGAAGATAAGGAAGGACTGCTAAAGTAGGTGTCCAAGAAGGTATTCTTTCTCTTTCTCCTGAGAGTTGAGCCCTGCTTTTTGAGTGGAGGGCCGACATTGGGCAGGGGCATCTGTATACAGAAGTTGGCAGCACTGATCCTCGCAGTAGAGCCTCCCTTGAAGTCTGGGCCTGAGCTGATGCTGCTGGCAGTGGGCAGGGTGTCATACTGCAACATTAATACGGTTTTTTGTGTTTGTCTCAAAAGCAGGAAACCTGACTGCTTTTCCACTTTTTGAGGCATCTCGCACTGATATTTATGATTGCTCTTTTAAAATCCCTGTTTGCCATTTCTCCACAGAAATACCACAGGGCTGCTTAAAGGAAGTTTGCTCTAAGAAGTTTTGAAAAAATTACCATCTGGCTTTAATTGTAAAATATAGTCAGATAAATGTATAAGGAGAGGGAGCATTTAAGTAGTCTAAGGCCAACAGCTGTATTTAAAAATATTTTATTTTTTTTGAATAGGTAATACATATGGTACAAAAGTCAAAGAGACACAGAAGAGGATACAGTGGATGCAGTGAACAGTCTCCCAATCCTATTCCCATCCACCCTGTTGCCCTCCCACAAACCACCATTTTTTCTAGGAATGTGTACCATAGGTAGAATCCCATACGTAAAATGTGAAATAACATGGACAAGAATATTCATTACAGCATTATTTATAATAGCAAAAGATAGGAAGCAATGGAAATGTTCATCAATAGGGGACTGATTAAATTATGATTTATCCAGTCAGTGAAATAGCATATAGTTAGAATGAGCTTATTATGTGCAAGTATATTAAGTGAAAAAAGCAAAGTGTAGAACAGTATGCAGAAAATGCTGTTTGTGTTTTTGATTCAAGGAAATATGTATATATGTGTGAAATATCTCTGGAGGGGCAAGCAGGAAAGTGAGGGTTGGGAGGAGGGGCAGTGGGAACAGCATTTAAGTAGGTACAGTGTCAGCAGGGTATCCTGAGGAGTGATCAGAATTTCTCTGGAATGTTGGATATAAGGTAGAGTGACAAGGGTGAGGTTAACAGATACCCAATTCTCTTTCCCCTTTCTTTAGACAAATAACAGTATGTGGTAAATGTTGTTATACACAACCTTCCTTTTTCCCTTGATCTATTCTGGATTTCTTATGAGGGCACTTAAAGCCACTTCTTTTTTCCTTTTGAGGGCTGCATAGAAATTAATGATTTCTAATCTTTTACTGTTAAAAATAAATGCTATAATAAATAACCTCTTACATTTGTCATTTCACATTTGGTGAGAATATATCTGAAAGGTTAAATTCCTAGAATTGGAATTACTGATTCCAAGAGTAAGTGCTTTTGTAATGTTGAAAGACATTGCCATATTATCCTCTTCAGAAGTTGTATGAATTTCTTCTGTCAGTTATGTGTGTGAGTGCCTCATTCCCCAGACCCTTGCCAACTAGGAGTCTAAACAAACTTTTTGGTCTTTGCCAATCTGACAATTTTTTAAGAAGTGTCTCAGTATGGTCTTAAAAACTCTCATTTCTTTTACTATGAATGGAGGTCAGAATTTTCGTATGTTTTAAGAACTATGTAGTTGGTCTGCTGAAAACATCTCAACTAGTATAGTGACCTAGAGCAAATTATTTAGGCTTTGTATATCTCAATTTCTTCATCTATAAACTGGGAATAAAAATAGTAAGTAGGATTGTTGGATGATTAAATATATTTGGTGTACAGCACTCAACATAGTGCCTGGCACATAGCAAGCATTCAATAAGTTATGTGATAGCTGACAATCAGAGCAGCAGGTAGGACAGGACAGGTTAAATTAAGAAAATAGCATTCATCTCCCTATCTCCAGGCACACAGCCTTGTTCATTTACATTGCCATTCAACAGAGACGTCCAAAATCAGAGTTTCCTTGTCTTAGAAGGTAAAGAACCTTTTCCCATTGGAGCCCAGTCAGAGGCTATTGGCAGAGCTGGTGAGGGGGGTAGCACAGCTTCATATGTAATATTTAGACAGCCAATATGGTAAAGAAATTTGGTTTAATATGAAATAAAACAAAAACAGAAGAGCCCAGATGTACATTTATTTATTCCACCGTGGTCCTAAACTCCTAGCTAGCCAAGGTTGGGGTGGGTCTCTACTTGCCAACTCAGAGGGTTGCCAGCTGTCTGTTTCACAAAGAGGAAGGGGGCTGAGGCTTCTGAGTAGACAAACAACATAGAAAATCTGGCTTCCTCTAAACAAGCCTATACCTGTTTTCAAGCTAGAAAATAGACCTTTTTATTTTTAGCACACCAAATTGGTGTCCACAGGAGGAGAGCCTAGGAGAGACTTGTTTCTTGTAAGAAGCAATAGGTACTTAATACAAGTCTTTGGAGGTGGGCACCCTGTCTTGTGGCAGCACTTGCTGTGGTGCACAGGAGCTATTGCTGGGGAGATTTTGAATGTTTATTTACCTGAAGCTACTGAATATTTTCTTTAGCCTTGTGTAAGGCCCAGGCTCCCCCTTTCTTACCAATTCTTTGTGTTTTTCATACTGTCCTCTTGCTGCTTTTGCAGGCTCCTTGCTCCCCTCATTTGTGCCTCTTATACTCAGCCATCTCACTTCAGTCTTCTCTGAGATGAGGGGATCTTCTGCTCCTCCCTGGGGCCACTGAACTGGCTAGAGGATGGAGATGTGGCAAAATATGGCCCAGACTAGATTGGCCGAGTGGCGGTGATGGTTCTCAGGAGGAGGCAATGCAGCCACTCCCCAAAGTTCCTCAGTCCTTTTTTGCTCAGTAGGTACTGAAGGACCATCCACGGGCAGATGTAGCCCAGTTGTGGAATCATCAGGATGAAGTGTGGATCATGGCTGGAAAGGTGTCTGCAGCATGAGGCCGAAGGACCTTGTGTGTTTGCACAGCTCGAGGGGGTGGAGGACCATCCTTTGGTAAGCATCCTTTGGCAAGGCCAGGACAGATAGCAGGCTGGGCCTCATGGTCAGTGGCTGAAGCATTAAAGCATTTGGTGGTGTTTGAGCCAAGCAAGGGCATGTGGCATGGAGGCAGTGACAGAAGCTCCCAGCCAGAGCCCAAGCTCAGAGAGGTGAAGAGCTGGCAAGGCTGACTGGGAGCTGGGCTGCAGGGCCTCCCGCCTGATGTCTTCATGGTGTCTTCCCAGCTCGAAAGCTTCCTCGCCTGTGGCTGGGGCCATTTCCAGGTAGCTGCTCACACAGACTCCTCACTGCTACTTCTTAGCAGTGCAGTGTGGGGGGCCGGCCTCCGCCACAAAGCCTGGGGAGCAGTGGCAGCGGTAGGAGCCTTCTGTGTTCTCACAGTGACCGTGGGCACAGACTGCAGCAGGCCCATTCAGGTCATCACACTCGTTCACATCTAAGAGGAAGGGAAGGAGGAAAGAGCTGTAGGGGCCCAAGTGCCTCTGGCTTGCTGCCTCTCCCCCTCTGGTCCTGCAGGGGAACCCTAGGTGTGGCAGCTAGAGGCTGAAGTCACTGTCCCAAACTGAGTAACTCAAGGACACAGAGCAGATGGTAGTGAGTCCATACTGTGCCCAGGAGAGTGACCATGCTCTTTTGTCTCTGTTTTGCTTTGGTCTAGGAACCTCCAATGGAAAGGGCTTTCTAAACAGCCTCTGGCCTTCCTTGGAGCTTTCTCACCACTCAGCCTGGTGCCTGGCAGCCCCACTAGGTGGCAGCAGGGGATGTCCTAGTTGTCTTAAGGCAGGGGTGTCTCCCTAGTGAGTGGTGGGCCAGTCTGACCTTCCCACTGAGCCAGCTGGGCCATCCTGCTCCCTGGGCATTGCCACTCTGATTTGAAACTTACCCACACAGACCATGTGGGCCGTGTCCAGCTGGAAGCCCTCAAAGCAGTCACAGGTGTAGCCCTCCCGCACACGCACACAGCGGCCATTCTCACAGCCATCAAGAATGCCACATTCCTCTGCCTGAAGCCCTTCGAAGCCAGCCTGGTGCTCTGGTAGGAAGGAATCAGAGAAGGAAGCTGAGACCTTCTCACCCCACCGTTAGACTCTGGGACCTCACCCTCCACTATAAAGGGCTGCCCTTACTGAACTGGGGTCGGGATTGGGAAAGTCATAAGACTCAAAAGATTTTAAAACCAGACAATACTCAGAAAATCAGTATGTGTCATTTTAGGTGGGGTGAGACATGCTATACTTGAAACAAAGACCCCTGGAAGGTTGGGATGCTGTTGTCACAATGCCTGGGCTCCTGAGCAGTTGGGTGTCTCTGTACAGTTTTGGTTTTGTTGTGATTGGTAGTAGGGTGTTAAAATCTTTACATAGTGGTTTTGTGGGAAAAGGATCGGCAGCAAAGGGGGTTTCCCCTCACTCAACACAAAGCAAAACTTCTACAAGATCTGCCTAACCCTTTTCTCTCTCTTTGTAGCCCCCCAGCCCTGAAAAAGACCCTACCCCTGATTTCAGGGCAGTCTTAGTCTGAGAGGGTGGCTGTGGCTCTGGCAGGTACTGCATCCATGGCACAGATGCCAGGCCTGACTTCCTCGTTGGAGTCCAAGTCCTGAATGCTGCTAGGGTTATTGCCACATACTGACAGAGCCACCATGGCTGGCCTTTGAAGTGATTAGGAATCCTTAATTCAGACTTCAGGTCACAACTGTGAATCTATAGAGCAGGTTATTCTGCATTCTGAAACTGGTGTGGAGGGGCAAACAGACCAGAGGTACCCTACCCACTTCCTCTCGCTCTACCAATTCACAGGGAAGCCTTTGAAGTTGGGATGCGTGTCCTGTATCTGTGTCCCCTGTGCTGGTTCTTTAGAGGGAGTTGTTAGGGTCTGACCCAAGCCTTTGGAATTGTCCCTTGAGTGACCCGTGAGAGGGCTCAGTGTGTTTTTTCCCTTCCCTGTCCTCACCCTGCTGGCAGTGATTAGCAGGTGGAGGAGATGGAAGTGAAACAGCTCTGGTTCCCATTTTTGTGGCAATACAGACCTGGATGGCTGGCCACATAGTGGGGCTGGAGTTCTGAAGGCCGCAGGGGAGACTCAAGGACTGGGAAGTGGTCCCCTGGGTGGTCAGCTGTGTTAGGGAAAGGTGGCTCAGGGATGGCATCCTCAGGGCTCAGGTAGTTGTAGAAGGGGGCCCCGTCTGGGCCATAGAGGCTGTAGTTCAGGTCCTCAGGCCCAGGGCCATATTCATAGCCTGGCCGGAAGTGGACCCCAGCCTCCCGCTCTGCTTCAATCCGGGCCACGTTGCACAGCTGAGCATAGACCTCTGTTGGGGAAGAGGAAGAAAAGAAGCTGGGCCCAATTCCTGGTAGCTAAAGCCTGGTGTGCTGTCCCCCAGCTCACTCCCCAGCCCAGGAGAGAGGGAGCACGCAGGAACTGGTGTCCTCTGAGAGCTCCTGGAAGCGCTCCTCTCCACACTCCACCCACTGCCCCACTTTGTCCCCAAAGAACAGGGAGGGAAGACAGGCACACTACTCTGATTGCTCTACTCATTTCTGAACCCCCTTTACAAGGTGAGGGCATCCCCTGCCCTGAGGCTCTGCCAACTCTGCAAGTGTTTCCAGGTCTCTACACAGAGGCACAGGTGCCTACTCACCAGAGCTCCTGGGGGGGCACAGGGCACACTGCTGGCTCCAGGCCTCGCCATCCTGGCAGCAGCATTCTGTGTATGTGGTGCGATGGCCATGCAGGGGTTGGCTGCATACATAATTGGTGACTTTTTTCCAGCAAATGTCCATGTGGATGTCATGGTCAGGCAGGTCCTCTGGGGGTGCAGGGGCAGGGCGTGAGCCCCCCAGCTCAGGCCCACTGCTCCTGCCGCCCTCCCCCCGCCTCCCACCGGCCCCCCGACCTGTGCTGCTGGTGCTGTTCACACAGTGCTGCTGGCTGAGGTCCAGGGTGAGCGGGGGGCTGCAGAAGCAGTGGAAAGAGCCTTCTGTGTTCACACACTCGCCATTCTCACAGGCCATGGCCTGGCACTCATCGACATCTGTGGTGGTGGGAAGATGGGAGGAATGTGTGGGCGGTGCCAAGGTGGCTTGTCCAGGGACCACCTTCATGGAAGGGGGTTTTCTTGTAACTGATAATAAAGAGGTAGTACCCTTCTTCCCCCACCCCTGCCCCAGCCCAGCCTGCCTGACCCCTCCCAGGGAATGCCTTTCCACCATGTGCCCACGGCAGTCCCTGACCACCCACAGCACCCTCCCCACAGACCTGCCTGCTGCCATGAGCACTTCCCCAGGAGGGGAGCCGGCTGGCAGGGGCTGGGTTGAGCATTCAGCTGTGGGCCCGAGGGTGGGGAAGGGTGGGGTGCATCCTCACCCTCACACTTCCTGCGCTCTGCATTGTACTGGTAGCCAGGATCGCACATGCAGATGTAGCCAGGCACTGTGTTGAGGCACCGGCCATTCTGGCACAGACCAGGCCCGAACATCACACACTCATTGGCATCTGAGGGAAGGCAAAGCTGAGGTGAGGGGGAGGTGAGCAGTAATGAGGCGGTACTTAAGATGGGGCTCCCAAGCTGGACTTACTGGGTTTAGCGGCCCTGTCACTCGCTAGTCAGGTGACTTTGGGCAACGTCTTAATTTCTCCTTGCCTCAGTTTCCTCCCTGAGGCTGTGGAGAGTACTGCTTAGCCTCTTAGAGTTGGTATGAGGATGTAAAGGTTCATACGTGGAAAGTGCCTACGGTAGTCCTTGACACAGAGCAAGCACTTAAGTAAAGCTACTTCTCTTACTATTTCCTTCTCCAGCTTCAGGCTTAGGGCTCTGAAGGGCTTAGACCTGAACTACCCACTGTGAGTATGGGTTCCCCGAAGTGTCTGGCTTGTAAGTGGGGCAGGGAGATAAGCTTCTGCCCCCGGCCTCTGTACAGCTCTACCACCTGCTCTGGCCCTGGGCCTTGTGACTGGGTTAGTCAGCGTCGTGGTTTGTTCCTGGAGGGTTCAGACTTGGGGGATCAGGGAAACCAGGTGGAGCTCAGGTCAGAACTTCCAGCTAAGAACCTACAGGTGGTTAGCCTGGGGACAGGAATGAGGGAAGCCACCAGGGCGATGCAGAGATCCCCTGGGGGACCTAGAGGGCCAGGCTGGGCCGGCTCAGGTGAGTGGGATTTGGGGAGAAGGGTCAGTAGGGAGGTCACCTGTGTACGTGGTCTGTCCAAACATCCAGGCTCCTTCCACAGGGATGTAGCCTTTACCACTGGGGCAGATCTCGCTGAACGCAGCTGTGCAGGGAGACATCCAGGCTCAGAGAGGGAAAGCCTCTGCCCCCTTCTCTGCTCCTTTCAGTGTCACCCTGCCAAGCTGGCCCTGAGAGGATCTGGGACCCTTGGGAGCCTTACCTGAGTCCTCGACTGGGCACAGGTCACAGGTGTCTCCCCAGGCGTGGCCCTGGGTGCAGCAGCACTCGGCCTGCGTGGTGTTCCGGCCCAGAAGGCTGGAGCAGGGCAGCTGGCCATTCTGCCCAGAGTAGCATTCCATGCGGATGGGGCCTGGAGGGTGGTCCCCTGGCAGGGCCTCAGGGATGCTCTGACCTGTGTGACAGACGCCCCTGATTATTGTCTGTCTATGGCTTTCTGGGGCACCCTGGCCTTTGAATTTATTTTTTAAATTTAGTGTTTAGCAGTTTACAAAATGCTTTTACCTATGTCATCTCACTTGATGCTCTCCACAACCATATGAGGTGGGCATTATTATTAGCTCCCTTTTGCAGATGAGGCAATTAAGGCTTAGGGAAGCTAGGCAGCTTGTCACAGCCACCAGCTATTAAGTGGCATAGAGAGCAGGGATTTTACCCCAGTTCCTCTGGTGCCAAAGCCCCTGCCTGCTTCCAGTACACCACCCTGCCTTCCTTCACTGTAGCGGGTGCCCGCTGCTCTGGCACATCACACGGCAGCCCCTCTGTCCATTCCTTTGCTTCATTCTGTACCCCAGCCTCTCCCACTCTTTCGTGTTCTAGGGCCTGCTTGCTTTTCCCCAAGTCAGAAAAGGCCAGCTGAGTGCTAGTCCAGCTTACAGTTCGGGGTTGAACCCAGCAGCTCTGGGATGGAGTGGGAAGGAGAGAGTGTTGAGCTTAGCTCAGCTTCAAGGCCTCCCTTACCAGAGTGCTCCCTGGGGCTGCATTCAGGGTTCCCCCAAGACTCAGTCTAAGATCCCTGAGCCACCCTAAGTTGGTGTCAGAGTTCCTAAGCCTCTCAGGAGAGAGAAGAGGGCAGAAACAGGTCACAAGATGGGAAGGCTTCTCTCTCTGTGCACTTCCTACAAATACCATGCCACTTGAGGCCCTGAGGTGTCTGGAGCACGGTGGCACCTTAATTAATGTGTTTGCTCCCCCTGTTGGTAGGTAGGATGTGCACACTTCCCCTACCAACCTGCCAGATGAAGATGGAGTTGCAGTCTCCCTTCCTTGCCCACTGGGTGAGAACCTATTTATGCAGGTTCATCACAGCCCTGAAGCCTCATGATGTCCCCTGGCCTGGTGAATTCCCCTTCTTGCCGTGACAATCACTGCATTCCGACTCCTCATCCCTCCACCTCCATTCCTAATCTGCAGCCCAGCCCACACTGCCCCAGTGCCTGCCCAGGCCCCCCTCTGGACTGGAACAGTATAAAGACTTTGTAAGCCTGGAGTGGTGGTACAGAATTGCGCGGGGTGCTGTACGGGTCCTGCTTACCTCCAGCCACACGAGGGCGGCAGTGCCCTTGCTGAGCGTCATATTCCTCCAGGTCGCTGGCACAGAGGCACAGGAAGGAGCCCTCCACGTTCTCACAGAGCGCCGCCCCACACACTGCCAGCATGAGCTCACACTCGTTCACGTCTGCCAGGCACGAGGACTGCTCAAGGGTGGAGAGGAGGCAGCCCCTGCCCCCTGCCCCTGCCTCTAGCCCAGCCGGCAGTTCCTCTTCTCATCCCCCCAGAAGAAACAGGCCAGGTCTTGGGGGAGGGGCAGAAAGTAGGAGCAGCAGGAAGGGGGAACAGATGAACAGAGGGCATGAGCTGAGAGCAAGGAGAAGGGGGCAGAAACGGGTCACGAGATGGGAAGGCTTCCTTTCTCTGCACTTTCTCCAAATACCATGTCTCTTGAGACCCTGAGGTGTCTGGAGATGGGTGGCACCTCAGTGTGCTTGTTCCCCCTGTTGGTAGGATGTGCACACTTCCCCTACCAACCTGGCCAATGTACCCGCTGAGGGTGGAGTTGAAATCTCCCTTTCTTGCCCACTTTATGAGGACCTATTATGGGGCGATGGGGCCATGAACAGTTCAGGAGGAGGGCCCTAGGGCCTCTATCTGGGACAGTCAAGATCTGTGGAGATGGGGTCAAGCGCCCAAGGGCCTTCCCTTCCCCGACCCAGAGCCTGGTCAGCTCAAAGGCCTCTCACCAACACAGTCCCAGCCGGAGGACGAAGTCTCAAAGCCCTGGTCACAGAGGCAGCGGAAGGAGCCATCAGTGTTGTCGCAGAAGCCGTGGCTCCCACACATGGTGTCGTTGGCACACTCATCTATGTCTGTGGGACAGTGGGGACTGGAGTGTAGGGTGCACACTATTTGCTGGGAATACTTACTTGGTTTATTAACACCAAGCTCTGTAAAAAGTGACTTTTAATCACAGGACAAGAAAACTCTTAACATTCCTCTTCAATTTTTGTATAAGCCCTGCTGTATGGAAAATATACAAATTTCAAACAGGTGCAAAAAGTGTCCTTGGGAGAAAGTAGTTTTTAGCTGGATACATGACCAATAGGTGTCCTCAGTTCCCCCTCCCCCACTCTGCTCGCTGCTCACCAATGCAGTCTCCAGCTGGGGCCAGGTGGAAGCCAGGCTGGCAGCTCAGGACACAGTGGTAGGAGCCAGGGCTGTTCTCACACCTCAAGGCTCCACATACGGAGTCTCTGTAGTCCTCACACTCGTCAATATCTGTCCCCAGAGTCATGAGAGGAGACAGAAGTGGCCAGGTCACTGCTCTGGCCACTACCCCCCCACCTCTGGCATTATAAGGTCATGCCCCTCAACCTCTGGGGTCCTTGATCTGTTCCAAATTACTGTTTGATCTCAATCCCAGCATATCAAGTTCAGGGTCACTGCCCCTGACCCAGCAGGGTGAGCATCCAGGAAGAGAGCTGTGTGCTGTTTAGGAAAGCACTGAGCACCTAGCCCCCGTGACACTCTTTCCTCCCACCCTCTTCCCTGCAGCAGAGCACCTTACACTTAATCTTCATATAAAACCTTCACCAAACGTATTACAGAGAGTTGTCATCACGTCTGTCTCCCTTGCTCAATTTCAAGATTGTCCATAATTGTCTGTTTGTCCTAGCAAAAGATACTGAAACTAGCAGGCGCTTAATAAATGTCTACTGAATCAATTTGGCTTAAAAACTAGATGGTGTGCTCTGCTCACACACGGATTATGATTATCTTCATTTTGTCATCCTCGGACAGTCCCTGAGCCAGCAGTCTCAATAAACGCCTTACCCATTAGATGATTAATCTGTGGAAAGTGCTCTGCTTCCCAGAAACTGCAGTCCTGGTCCCAGGGAACCAAGGGCCAGGCATGGGTGGAGGTGGGCAGACCTGGGGTGAAGCCCTGTCCACTCCCCCGGGAGCCCTTACCTACACACTCCCCACTCTCTGGGGAGGGCTGGAAGCCGGTCTTGCACAGACAGTTGAAGGAGCCCTCAGTGTTGACACACTGGCCTCCCAGACACTGGTCAGTGACCACACACTCGTCCACATCTAGAATAGAGAAGTTGTCAGCAGACCCTGCCCTGGGGTACCAGGGCCCTGTGCAGCTTCCTCTGGGCCCTAAGTAGCCCATAGGTGGGTCTGGGAGTGACTCAGGGTAGGAAAGGTCTGGAAGATCTGAGCAAGAGTCCAGAACTGGAAGCTAGAGGCCAGGCTAGGGGCAGGAGCCCGGAACTGGGGTTCTGTCACAGGGAGAAGGGTGACAAACAGTTCAGAGGGTGCACATGTAGACATCATGGAGAAGCCCTGGTGAAAGACTCGGAGTCCCACCCTGACTCCTGGCTGCCTCTCATCATTCCCAGCTGCCATCTTCCTAGGTGGGGCTGTGGGCATTGTCTCTTTCAGGACTCTAGACGTAGCCTTCAGCGTCACTGCTGCTGGCAAGTGGACATGGCCAAGCTGGGATCTCACCCTGGCAGCTGGTGCCCCCCTCTGCACTGGCAAAGCCCGGTGCGCAGAGACAGAAGAAGGACCCGTGGCTGTTGAGACACTCGCCGCGGGGTGCGCAGTACTCCTCCTCCACACACTCGTCCACGTCTGCAGGGAGAAGTGGGCACTGGTGTCTCCCCACGTGCCCACACTCCTGCCTCCAGTTCCCAGTGGGGAGGCTGAGCCACTCACCCTCACAGATGGTGCCGTTGGCCAGCTGGAAGCCCGGGGGACAGAGGCACTGGTAGGAGCCCACTGTGTTCCTGCACATGCCTCCCAGGCAGCTGCTCTGGGGGTCTTCACACTCGTCCACGTCTGCAGGGTCACATGGGGAGGAAGGCAGCCGATGACAGCACCTCCCATGAACAGGAGCCAGCAGGGAGGTCTCCAGAAGGCCTGTCACCTGCCTGAGGAGTCTGGACCCAGAGGGGGATTCTCCCTTTATAAAGCAGCACAGGTGCCAGCGCAGGTGACTGCAGCTCCCTCCACTTCTGCCTCAGCTCTGCAGGTGTCCCTGCCTCTGGCTGGGCTTCTCCAGCTGCCCACACAATGCTCACCTTGGGGACACTTGGCTCCTCCAAGCTACCCTGCCCTTATCATGGCTGAGATGGCTTAGATTTTACTGGGAAGCAATGGGAAAACAAAGGAGAAATAAAGGAAATGATACTAAGAACCCGAGAAGGTAACAGAAACTATATTCTTCAAGCTGGCCTAGCCTACAGTTTGCCTGGTACAGGCTGATGTTTTCTGAAATGTCCCAGCACCCACCCCTCTGAGGGAGCTTCCTGGGGAGCTTGCTAGAGAATCTGAGGCCCACAGCAGTGGCTGACCTAGCAGGTCGGGGACAAGGCCCAAGAAGCTGCATGTTGAACAAACCACAGCGAAGTGTATGATCCAGTGGCTCACTGGCCCCCTAGACCCAGGTCTGCAGTCATCTTTCGAAAACTCCTGTGTGGGGATGGGTGAGAATAGGTGTCCCCAGCTGCCCCGCCATCCGAGGTGGACAGAGAGGCCCCTGGTCTGGAAACACCTCCCTGCTGTCACCTGGTCACTCCCTTCTCTAGGGTGAGGGGTTAGTCCTTGCACACGGGGTAGGAGGGCAGCTCTCACCTTTGCAGGTGTGGCCCAGGGGGCTAGGCCTGTAGCCCTCGCCACAGTCCCTGCAGGAGAAGGACCCCTCGGAGTTGGTGCAGACTCCTGACAGGCAGACTCCCGGGAAGGCACACTCATCTAGGTCTGGGCAGACAGCCAGCCAGTCACCCGGGGCCTGGTAGGGCTCCCTCCACCCGGCAAGGCAAGCACCTTCCCGCACCTCTGGCCCCCCTCTCTGATCATGTAGGACTCTCTCCTGGGCAGGAGCAGGTCCTGGCTGTGGGCCTCTTGCAGGACAACTCCAGCACCTTGTCCCCAGAATGCTCCTGGGGTAGCTCTACTGTCAGCTTCCCTCTTGTCTCAGTGACTCCCTTTTCCTCCTGTTCCCCACTTCCAGTTTGGAGGCTTATAACAATAGCTCTCTTTGGAACCGAGTCCATTTATAAGGTCCTCTAGGCTAGCCTGGAGACCCTGAGCATCAGCCTAATGCTGGGGCACAAATGGAGTGTTCTTGGGGAGGTAAGAAGACCTGTATTCTCAGCCCCCTGTGGCAATCCCTTCCCCAGAGTTACCTTCACAGGCAGTTCCATCCTCATTCACCCAGTACCCAGTCTCACAGGCCGAGCAGGCGAAGGAGCCCTCAGTGTTGAGGCACAGGCCCGTGGGGCAGGAGGCCCGGCTGGCACACTCGTTGACATCTGAAACAGGCCACTGAATTCTGTGTAGGACTCTGCTGGGCAGACATGCCAGGACAGCCGGAGACTGACAGGTGGGTGGGAGGAGGGGAAGGACAGGTCTTGACAGTGGTGTGCTGGGCAAGCCCGGTTAGGGGTATGGGGACAGGGGTGGATTAGGTGTGTGTGTGCAGAGGGAAGGAACTGCAGGCTAACTTGCCCATAGAGAAAGGTGCTTCAGCATCTTTGTACCTTGGCAGCCCTTCTCATCTGAGGTGACCTCGTAGCCCTGCTCACAAGAGCATCTAAAGGAGCCCTCTAGGTTGATGCACCTTCCATGGGTACAGACCCCAGGGGTCAGACACTCGTTTACATCTGTGGAAGAGAAGCCCAAGATGGCAGGCTGGCCTCCTTTCCTTCCTGCAGTCCCCATAGTCAGGCTTGCAGCATCTTAATTATGAGGCCAGGGAATCTGCTTTCAGAGGGCCCACAGGTCACTCCTTCTCCTGGCTTCACCCACCTGGGCAGGCCAGGGTGCCCTCCCCAGCTGAGGTCACTTCAGCTCTATCTGCTAACACAGAGCATCCTGCATATGTCCTAGGAAAGGGATCCGTGTCCCTCAGCCATGGGGCTGGTTCGGCCCATCTGAGAACAAGACCTTTGACCTGCCCTACAGTGGGTCTGAACCTCTCTGGCCTCCCACATGCCAACCAGACTGGTATGAGCCCATGTTCCCAGCTCAATAACCAGCTTCAGTAGGTGAGTGGGCAAGGCAGAGAGAGGCCAAGCTATGCCTGGGTGGCGGGGCGGCAGTCTCGGGAGCCTGGGAAATGTCTGCCCTCTCCAGAGCCTCAAAGCATCTATTCACAACTCAGTCCCTCCTGGCATTCTGAACCCGGGTCCTTCTTCCTGCAGGGGCTGAGGGGAAAGAACATTCTTCCTACAGCTGACAAGCAGCCCCTCTGGAGGGAGAAGAGCACTCACTGTTCAGTTAAACCTTGCTGTTTAGACTTTGCTGGTGAGATGCAGAATAGCAGACAACCCCTCCCTCCCTGGGGACCACAGGAGGGCCTGGCTGCCAGCTCACACTCCCAGAGTCAGGCTCTTCCCAAGTGCTTGGCACCTTGCTCTACCCATCAGCATCAAGCCACAGAAGCTTCTGGGACCTTGGGCTGCAGCTCCTGGATGAATATGGCCAGGAGCCAAGGGGCCCCCACCCTGGCTGATTCAGGGGGGCAAATCCCCAGCAGCGGAAGCCTGCCCACCTCACGTCCAGTGTCACTTGGGTACCCAGCCGGATCATGGGGGACAACAGGCTGCAAGTCACTTCCCCCAGCCCACCTCTTTCCCTCTCTGTGTGTGGGCTCAACCAGAGGTCCTGAGGCCGAACAGCCCTCACCTACACAGCTCCCGCTCTGGCCCCTGTAGCCCTCCTCGCAGGCCAGACAAGTGTAGGAGCCGGGGGAATTGACGCATCTCCCATCAGGGCAGGTGCTGGGGTGACGGCATTCATTGATGTCTGCAAAATAACAGCCCCTCCCTTGGTCACGCCTGGGAACCACAGCACACAGAGGTCTGTGAGGAAGTGAATCCTTGGCCGGGGAGAGTGAGGAATGTCAGTGTCTGTACAGATGGAAATGAGGAAAAACCTGGTGTTGTCCTCTGTTCCCAACTCCACCTCCCACGCACTGTCCTGGACAAAAGAGGGAGATCGTCATTCTCCTGGAGGAGGGTCACCAGCTTATGCAGGTTCAGAGATCCTATTGCCTGGGAGGAAGACTACTCAGCACCATGGAGAACACACAGGAAACAGGGCCAGGGTCAGAACACAGGCTTTCTGTAAGGGATGAAAGTCAGCAGCTGCTGTCACAGAACAGGACACAGGTCCTGAAGTTGGGGGTGAAAATGAGTCATCCTCGAGGTTGGTTGGTATGCAGACGCCAGGCCACATGAAAGCCCTCTGTCTCAGGGAACAGGGGCCCTCTCAAGCTTCATCCTAAGGGTCCAGAAGAGGAAGTCATACACAGGGCAGGTGGTTATTCAGGTGGGTGTCTGCAGGGTGATACCCAGAACTCCTAGGTTATGTTGAGGACACCGAAATAAGGTTCATTTCTGGAAAGAGGGCAGTCAAGAGCCCTTAATTGGCTTGTACTAAACTATTCTAAGAATTTCTGTAAAGACAGAGATGGAGAGAATGAGACAAAGATGAAGGGAATAAGGGATCTAGGAGCACCAACACTGGCACCCAGGAGACAGCAGCTGGCACCGTGGCCTGCTGGCCTTGGCTGAGGTACCAGCAGGAGGGTAGGCAAAACCTGGGATGGATAAGCAATCCCTGTTTCAGGGATGCAAGACTTGGCAGATGAAGAAAAGGAGAATGAAGTGAGGGTTCCCTCTAAGACCACATTGAGAAAACTGAAGTCTTTGGACCTCTCCTATAGAGATCAGGCCTGGTGGCAAGGAGATTAGGTTTACCAGGAGCAAGGAGCCCTGACGTCTGTCCCATTTCAGGTGTACAATGTAATGATCTGGGTACATCTGCGGACGTGTTGCATGAAATGTCTTCGGCTGGCACTGTGCTCATGGCACTGGCTCTCTACTTGCCAGGCCATGGGGTCTTTGGCGTCCTGGTTCCTTGCTTCTGGGTGGGGCCAGGGGACTAGTGTTAGCCAATGAGCTATGTGTAGGTAGGATGTGTGTAATTTACAGAGCACAGTGTTTAGCTGAGTGCACCCCTGCAGAGTGCTCTCTCTTTCTTCCGTGGAGACTGGCCACATTTAAGAACATTCCGTGGAGACGGGCCACATTCAGGGACCTCCAGCTGACCCATGATGGACATGTGGTCGTGGTCAGATACGAACTTGGCTGTGTCCTAAGTCACTAAGCTTGGGGTTGCTTGTTGGTGCATGTCTACCCTGGCACACCACTGCCGGCTTCCTTCCTCAGACCGGAGCCTCGGCCAGCGATTATCAGATGTAAGGGGTCTGTCAGCAAGTGGGCAGAAGATCCAAGCAGTCCTCTGCCTGCCTCTGAGCCAAGGAAGGCCTTCCTGAATGGGAGTGGATGTAAGCCTATTGAAAGGAGCCAGATAAAGATTCCGGATGAAGATTCTACTTCTGACCAGTCTTGTTAAGGGCATAGGCTCTCATGTCACCAGACAGCCTGAGGCTATCCCACTGACCTCTTGGTGCCTGAACTGGAGCTAGATTTTTCTGCCTAGTCTAGGGTTTGAATTTTAATCTAAAATTATGGTATATTTTGGTAGGTTCTAATACCCTGGTTGTCAGGGAGGGAACTATGTATCTTATTTATTGCTTACATTCCGAGCCCATGGCGGGGCCACAGTTGGCATTTAACAAATGTTTGCTGACCAAAGAATGAGACCATGTGACTAAGACTTCACACTCTCTTGGTATGGCAGCTGCTGAAGAGACCCCAGGAAACCCATGGAAACAGTTTCCCAGGGACCAGCCTGCTGACCTGCTCTCTGTCCACTGGGAGGATCCTGGAACTTCTCTACTTCAGCCTTTGCATGAGGAAATGTAAGGGCGCCCCCACCTCTGTTCCTTGCGAGAGCACAGGGTGGGGTGCTCAGAGTGCTCAGTCAGGGACCAGAGGCTCAGGTGACCTTGGATGTAGCAGAGCCCCAGCAGTCTGCAGGGGACTCTAACCCCTTTCTGGGGGCTACCTAGAGTCCTGGTCCCATGGAAATGCCATTAAGACTGCATGGGCCACTGTCCAGACCACTCAGGCCTTTCACCAGAGACTTTGAGTGTAAGTAGAGAGAGTGGTTTCCTAGCTGGAGAAAGAAGAAAGAGGGAGAGGAAACTGACTGGGCTCTGGGGGCGATGGGCTGGTCTGTGGTTACTGATGGAAACCTGGAGAAGTGTGCAGGCTACATCAGTCTTTCTTTCAGCAGACTCAGAGTGTCTGCCCTGGGCCAGGAACTCAGCCTGACCTCCCAGCCAAGGTGAGTGCCTGGAATCTTTCCTCGGGAAAGGAAGGGGACAATCCGGAGGCATGGACAGGCCTGGTAGGAGTCTAGACGTGAAGAAGAACAGGGCCTTCAGACAGTACCAGTACCCCTGCCCACTGAGGGTCTACATGTGCATGCTGTATATATTAGCCTCTGAGATGGGCATTATGCTTTCCGTTCTCAGACATCGTGATAGGAGCCAAACGCAGGCCTGTCTCTGACAGAGCCTGTGCCCTTAACATGGACTGGTTAGTACAGATTTGTCTTTTTAAAGTCCTGGCATTTTCTTGGTTCATTTCCTTTAGCTTTGCTTTTCTTTTTAATAGAGTCTAATGTCAAGTTCATAATGTTTTGATGCTTAAATGAGGTAACTATCAAGTACCTCGCACCTGGCACATAGTAGGGATCCGTCAAATACTGACTCCCTTCACTCTCCATTCTCCTGTAAACTACCAGGCTGCCTGTCTCCATCATGTTAACAAGGACAAGGGGAGTGGGTCTGGCTTTGATTGTGTGTAGGCCTGCATTTTCAAGGGGGAGCACCAAGAGGGAGGCACTGAGCAGAGAAAGTGACACGCTGTGGGTGCAGAAAGAGAGCTAGTTGTCTGTCTGATACCCCAGCCACCCCTCCCTTTGCTAGGACCTTTTAGGATCTCTGGCCTTTGCTTCTGTGGTAATGGCCTTGGGAAGGGGGCTCTGCCTTGACAGGGTGCACAAGCTCACCTCTAGGCAAGGTGAAACCAGCTAAGTCCTGGCCAGGGAAAGCCTGGAGGCTGGGAGGAGCCTGGACCTAAACTCTGGTCCAGGGCAGGATTTCTTTCCAGAGAGCTTTATTTATCCTCATTTAGTCCTGTCTCAGCCAGTCTTAGCACATAAGCCAGGCCTCATGCAAGCACTTGACACCCCAGCCTGGCGAGGAGGTGGTAGTGGCAGAGCTGCCAGGAGCAGGCATAACAGTCGCTGGTTCAGGCCAGTTTGTGAGGACACCAGTTGGCAATGTCACAGTCCCCTTTTGGAGAGGACTGGGAAATGGAGTGAGGATCAGGGCTCTTTCATTCGTTCAACTAGCATTTGTTGGGGGTGTCCAATGATGGATGTTTATCAGGGGTCCACACATGGCTCATCTGAGAATGTGGTCCATCTGTGAGGAGCTCGTAGGCTAACAAGTTTTAACAAGTAGGTCAAGGCTGAGGCACCAGGTGCCTCCAAGATAGATCAACTCCTTGGCCACATGGAGAGAGGGGTGTGACTCATGGTGAGGGACTGGGGTATACAGAGGCATGTTCCCAGGGTCTCACATACTTAAAGTTGCTTGGGCTCCCCTGCTTCAGGAGGCAGATATCACTGGAGGGATGAAAAGCTCAAGGATTGCCAGCCAGGCCTCTGTCCTTGGGAGTGGGCTCAGCAGCAAGGGGCTTAGCTGGGAACAAGCTGGAAGGGGAGTTGGTGGCTGGCTGGCACATGGAGAGGGACCAGCAGAGCACATGGAGAGGGACCAGCAGATGGTGGGGCAGCAGGCTGTGCTCCCTTACCCCATTCCTTACCTTGGCAGTGGCCCTTCCTGACCATGATGTAGCCCTGGCCACACTCGCAGTGGTACGAACCCTCTGTGTTGGTGCACCTCCCCCTGCTGCACACCTCTGGCTGCTCACACTCATCAATGTCTGCAAACACACACAAAAGTGCTGAGCTGGGGCCAGCCCTGCCGGGGATCTTGGAACATCCTTTCAGAAGCTGAGGACAAGGACACCCATGCTGAGGCTCAGGCAGGGAAGGAATCCTTGCTGCAGCCATGATTGGCAGGGGGCTCCCACGCCGGGTCTGAGATGGATCTAGCTCAGGCCTCTGCAAATCCTGAGTTCCTCTCTCCTAGGGAAGGCTATTTTGGGGCCCTTAGGGAGCCTCCCAGCTATCTCCTTGATGCAAGGGCTGTTCTTCAGGTTAGGTGGCAATCTATATGGCATGATATGAAGAGGTCCCTCCTGACCCCAAGACACCCCAGAGGTCTGCTTCTAGAGTTTTAAGGGCCTTCTTAAAGGTTAGGGATTAAGCAACCAGCAAGACAGAACATGAGAGGCAACTGTGGGTCTATCTGCTTGGTTTATTCTATTGTCCCAAAGCGATCAGAGGATTGCTCAAAAGCCCCCCCGTGGTCATGCCACTCCCCTGCTTAAGCACCTACCAGGGATCCCTGCTGACGGGGCCTCTGCCACCTGCCCAGCCTTGCTGTATTCACTGATCTCCACCAGTCCAGCTTCTAAGCCTTTGTTCATTCACATCCGTGTCTCTGCTTGGAGTGTCTTCCTTCACCTCAATGGCCAGCAGAGTCCTACTCCCATTTCAAGGGCTGGCTTGACTGATCAACTCTAGGTCACTCTGGCCACTCCCCATTCCCTGCCCCCACAAATTAATGGAGCATCCATGTTTGCCCCGTGCCCCCCAGCACTAGTTCAAGCACTTCGCAGAGTCCTCCTGCAGATTAATTGAGATAATCCAGGTGAGGGGCTTAGCACAGTGCCTGCCTAGCACAAGGGACACACTGAAGAAACATTAGCTGTTATTATCTGCATTAAATCCATCCTATAAAGTCTAAGCTCCTCAGTCTAGCTTGTGAATCTTCATGACCTGGTCCCTGCCTACTTCTTTCACCTCCCTTCTTGCCTCCCACACACCTCTTAGCCTCAGCCATACAGGACCTGCTTCTGAGCCTCTGCATGTGCTGTTCCCTTGTCTGGAGTGGCTTCCTAAGCCCCAGCTTGGCAGTCTCTGCTCATCTCTCAGGTAAGGCTGACCTCTCCCCTCCAACCCATATGCCCCTCACCAGGGTACCCTTAGGACCCAGCCCTTAACTAACTGTTTCTTCACTTGCCTGTTCCCCCCAACTGCTGAGAATGTGCCTTATTATCTGAGTGTCCCCAGTACCCAGCAGAGAACCCCCCAAAATGCTAGTTGCATGAGTGGATTAATAACCATCTGTCCATGTACACTGTTTCAGCTGAGCAGTACTTTACAACACTTTAGTGCATGGCAGTCATCGGCAGAAGGTGTAAAATGCACAGTCCCAGGCCTAAACTTGGAGCTCTCACCCCAGCAGTATGGGGCTGGCCCAGGAACCTGCATTTTAATAACTCTCCAGGGAATTCTGAAATAAATGGTTCTCACTCTGAGAAGTTCTAATCGCAATGGAAGAGAAAAGGGGACTCAGAGGCAGAGCTATGTGTGGGAACTTGATAAAGAATCCACAAACAGATACCAGGATGACTATCTGATAGATGAGGCTGGGAAAACTGACTTGCTCTGTAGACAAATATGGAAATGGAAATGGAAAAACCCGGATCTTAACACCCCTACAAAGATGGACTCCAGATGGATTCAAACATGCCATGAAAGGCAAAGCTATAACTTTAATGGAAGAAAATCTTGGGAAAACTGACTTGCTCTGTAGACAAATATGGAAATGGAAATGGAAAAACCCGGATCTTAACACCCCTACAAAGATGGACTCCAGATGGATTCAAACATGCCATGAAAGGCAAAGCTATAACTTTAATGGAAGAAAATGTAAGAGAATATCTTTGCAAGTTTTGGGAAGGACTTGTTAAATAAAGCCCCAAAAGCATAAAAATAAAGCAAAAAGGTGAATTTCAATATATCAGAATTAAGGATTTCTGTTAAAAGAAGGACATGGATATGATTAATGGACAGAGGACAAAATGGGAGAGTTACAAGATTTAAACCCAGCAAATATCTGGAACATTTAAGGAACTCTTAAAGAGCAACAAGAAAAGCCAGCAACCACTATTGGAAAACTGAGCAAAAGATAAGAACAAGCCATTTCCACAGAAAGAAACTCTTCAGTAAATGTACACAGAGATGCTCATGCTTATTAGCAAAGTCAATGGTATTTTAAATCATCAATATTCAAATAATGTGTATTAACAACTATTTATACTTTAATTTTAATTCTAGAAATTATATATGGTTTATAGTAATTAGTTCATGAATAAAAACAGTATTAAAACAATGAGATACTGTTTTATGAGACAGGCAGAATTTAGAAAGTAGATGTTATTCTGGGTATGACCTCACCAAGTGGCAGCCAAGCCCGACCGAGGGAGGACTGACAGCTGACCTTGAGCTTCCCCCCCCCCTCCGTTCCCTCAGCTTTCGGGGCCGGCAAAGACCTTCCAGACACTAGGCTGGCACACAGACAAACCCCGTCTGGATCAGCTCCGGGCAAGTCATTCCCTGCAGCAGCCCCTGCTTGTCCCAAGCCAGCACCAGGGCTGGGCCTGAGAGAGCAGCGTCTCTGGCCCACACCACCAGCCAAGGCTGCGAGACCGCAAGAAGCCCCTCACCCCAGCCTGTAACTGCCCCCCTAACTCCAGGCTGCTCTGAGCCCTGCTGCTGAGTCACTTCCCTGAAAGCCAGCTGACTGCACGGCCACCCTGTGCTCACAAACCTCTGCTGGCTGCCCGCTGCCTGTGGGACGGCACCCAGACTCTCCCCGCCGGCACTCAAGGCACTGTGCAAACTGGCCTCAGCTCCAGCCACTTCCTCCACATATCCCACACTCCAGTCAAACGGGGCGGATCTTCATTCCCAGAGCACGCTGGGCTCATTCACTGCTCTGTGCTCTGCAGAGACGGTTCCCTTGCCCTGGAATAAAGACCCTCTGCCCTCTCCTTCCTCCACTGTGCATTGTAAGGGAGTGTGTTGTTGGAAGAAACTATGCTTTGGGGCCAGAATGACTTTGATTCTGTTTCCAGCTCTGCCATAACTAGGCGTGAGGTCCCTGGTGTTTCAATTCACCTCTCTGAGCCTCAGTTTGCTGAACTATAAAGTGGGGATAAGGATTTCTACTGCACAGGGCTGGGATGATGAGCTTCACATAATAAAGTGCTTGGGACATTAATAAAGCGCCAGTATATGAGTGCTCATTAAATGGTAGCTAGTATTATTCTGCCCCATCGCAAACACTCCCATGGGAAACCTTCCTACAATCTTCCATACAGAACAAGCTGCTTCCTCTTCCAGATCGCACGCACACCTTACTCCATCCATGGTTCTCCCACTCTTTGATTAGATTAGGTGGTTTGACTCTTCACCCCCATCATCAGGTGAGAGGACCTGGATGGCTCTGGTCTCCACAGACAGAAGAGCCGTGGGAGACCTGGGCACCGGGAGGACACACAGCCTCCCTGGCCTCTGGGAGGTGCCTGTGAGTGATTGTGGGGCTGTCCCTGCCAGAACCAGCAGTGTGAGCCCCAAGAGCAGCAGTGCCTTTCTTCGAGTGAAGGATTCCAACTGGGTTATGAATCTTCAGGCACTGCCTGGAAAGTGCTGCATCATATTCTCTGTGAGCTCATTCATAAAAATGTATGCAGAGTGTTTTGTATCACAGCCTAAATGCTGACAATTAAAGGGTCTTTACCCAGGGGGAATCATCTTTTCCCAGGGTCCCCAGGCAGTAGGCCAGGCCTTCCCAGGGCAGCTCAAAGCCTTGCAGGTGTCTCCAAACTGCTGAGGACACATGTTCCTCTTGCAAAGGTGTGCCTGCTCCCCACCTGCAGGAGTCCCAGTCAGTGTTCTCATGGCGCCCTCCTTAACCAAAATGAAAGCAGCTCCTGGTCACTCATGACTTGGGAACCCGGCTTATCATCCTTATCTCTAGCCGTGTTCCCTGACCCCCTCACACTTGGCTCCAGCCACAGGTCCTTGGAGCCTTTATGCATGTCGCTGCCTTTCTGGTTCATACCTCTTTCCAGCCTCAGCGTAAGATCAGTTCCCTCCCAGGTCCAGGTCAGAGCCCTGTTCTCTGTCCCACAGCCCCTGTGCTCCCCAAGCTGCAGTGCAGTGGCTGAGTGCTGTGACTGCCTGGATCCTCTTCCACCCCAACACTACCTGTGACGTCCTGGCCCCCTCCAGGGGCAAGGGAGTGCCCAGCTTACCTTGGCATTCCTGTGTGGCTCCCGAGGTGGCCAGTGTGTAGCCAGGGTAGCAGAAGCAGGAATAGGAGCCCACGCGGTTGACACAATGCCCTTTTCCCTTGCAGGGGTCCCTCAGACACTCATTGTCATCTGAGCAGGGGGACGTGGGGAGGGAGGTCAGGCAGGCCTTTCTTTGAGCACCTGCTAGCAACCTGCCCCTGCTAAGGACTGGACAGGGCATGATGCCTTGGGGCAAGGAGGGAGGATTGAGGCTGCAGAGGCAGCCAGTGAGATGAAATATCTCTAAGGCTGGAAGCCACGAGGTTGGGCCACTGAGCCCACTCAAGCACAAGGGCCAGGGATGGCAGCCCAGCACCTCCTTCCTGCCCCATGTCCCCCTCTCCCAGTGGCCCCATGATCACTTCCTTTCTCTTTCAGGGCACACCGGATGTGTGTCCTGTGTGTAAAACTATCGTGGGCCAGGGGGAGGAGGGATCAGGACTCCCCCAGGGATGGCCCTGGTGGAAACATTTACAGCTAGGTCAGGCCATGCTCCACTCTGCAGACAGCAAGACGGCAAGTGGGAGGGGGTGCTGATCTCAGAGCTGAGGGTTCCGGGCACTGGTTGGGAGTCCCTGGGGTGGCTTCCCATCTCCTGGAGTCCTAGAGACTCACTGGATGGTGATCCCAGAGATTGATCTCCCCAAGGTTAAAGTTAGCTTTGTCCACAGGGGCTATACTCCCCCTCAACCCATCAACCACGCAGCTGTGCTTAGAGCTTCTGATGCCTGGACTCTTGACTCTGCCCCCAGTCCTGCTTCTATCTGAGTGAGCCCAGGATACCTGAAGTGAATACCTGTGCAGTAGGCCTGGCTGGGGTGCAGCTGGTAGCCAGGGCTACATAGGCATCTGTATCCATCTGGGAGGTTCACACAGGTTCCAGGGCCACAGATGTTGGTGGACCCAGCGGCACATCTGTCAAGGCCTGTGGGAGCTAGACCACAGCAGTTATGGTGGGGAGGGTGGAAGTGGATGAGCAAGGCGGTAGACAGGGCACAGGGGCCTCAGAGGACCCACAGAGGCCTCATACCCCTTAGCTGGGCCCTCTCACATCCACGTACAGCACGGCCGTGGCCTTGCCTCAGACCCCCACAGCACCTCCTCCCAGGGCCGGGCCCTACCAGGATGGAGTCTGCAGCAGTCCGTCCCTCTGACAGTGGATTCCAGTTCCCCATATTCCATGTCCCAGCACAGGGTCACCCCTGCTGAGGCCCAAGCTTGACCTCACCCTGAGTATAGGCACAGTTCTCATGCCCAGTGCATCCCTTCCCTGCAACTGCTGCCCAGATTCCCCCAGACAGACAGACAGACAGACAGGCACACAGATCTGGTGAGTAGGGTAGAAAAGCAGCCGGAGGAAGAATGCTGAGGTGGGCTGGAGCCAAGTGGACAGGGCCTGGAAGTCCACACTGAGACAGGCCTACAAGCAAGCAGTCATGCAAGATGGGTGTGACGAGCTGTCTCAGGAAGACCCACATCTTGTCATGTTGTCTTGCTCAGAAAGGCAGCAGGAAAGTGGATGCACTGCAAGGGGAGGCACAGGGGCCCTTAGACACCTGTTGATATCATTTAAACAAGGACTGCCTTGGGTGGTAGTAATGTGGTAAAAAAATGAGGCATCAGATGCTGGATTTGGAAACAGTTCGGAGACTCACCAGGACTCAGGTATGTAGAGGTGGCAGAGAGGGCAGGAACTAGCTTTTTTGAACTGTGTCTTTAACACTAGAAAAGTACCTGGTACTTAGAACATGCTGAGTGAACAGATGACTGATGAAATACCCTGTGACTGCCTTGAGGTCTCAGCTGCACGCTCCTGCCCCTGCCCCATGGCACTGAGGGGGCCCTGGAGGCCCGAGGGGATGGGTTGGTGCACAGCGGGGCTTCACAGCATTTGCTAAATTGGACTGAACTGGATGTGCACACAGGCCTATTTGGGAGGCCACCCTGCCCCTGGCCTGGCTCTGAATTGGTGTCAGCCTGGGAGCCTGTAGGGACCACCAGCCAGGCTGTAAATGTCCTCTCAGAGGGCTGAGTTTAGAGAATAGTAGGCAAGGAAAGGGATCAGGAAAAAGGCTGTGGGTGGTGGTTGGGGGGGATTCTGTCTCCCAACAAAACTGAGAGCTGCTGCTGAGGCTGACCTGGGCCCCTCCTCTGTCCTCATCCCTGCCTCCAGGCCCATTTTCCTTGCAAGAAACTCAGAATCCTCATCTAAGACCCTTAACCCAGCTCATCCTGCCTTCCAAGCAAGGCAAGATGGGGTACTAGGACACCCTCTGGAGCAGCTGCCTGAACCCAGAGGAGAGAGGTCCTGGGAGAGCGCAGTGGGATGCCCAGGAAGGCCTGGGAACCACCCCAGCCCCACACTCTCTGGACTGTTCCACCAGGCTGCAGGGTCTCTCCTTTATCAGAGGAAATCTGGAAATACCCGTCTCCCCCAAGGTGCCCTCAGTCTGAAAGGTCAACAGATCAGCAAGCCCCTGACATGGGCACATGAGGGAACACATGTGCACACACACACAAGCACATGTGAGCACACACGTGCACAGGCAGCAACAGTGGCCACATTGGCCTGGCCTCTCTTGAACCAAGTCCCCAGACAATGAGCCTTTAAGGAGGGCACATCCCAGAGCAAGGTGGGTTTGCCAGGGACCCCCCTGCACTGCCCCCCTCACCACTGTAGCTGGCCCGAGAGGTGGAAACACAGGCTGCCAGACAGTTAAACAACCTTGAGAACTAGAACCATTTTCCTTCCCGAAAGTCAGCTCTCCCTGGGGGCCGGAGGCTGCCTGCTGCTAGGGCCCTCAGCTGACCTAGGGTCAACAGCCTGGAGCAGTCAGGCTCCCAGAGGCCCCACGTGCTCCGCTCCCTCAAGAGGGGCCCCTGGATTCTCCTAAATGGCCTCTGAGTAAGCCCCTATTCTTTCTCCTTCCTGGCCTGACTGGTGCTCTGGACAGGACTCCTGTGAGCACTCTGTGCTCTCCGTGAGGAGGAGCCAGGGGCTGAGCCTGCACCAGAGTTCACTGGACACTGTTCAGCTGGTTGGAGAGGCCCTGGAGTCAGCTCTGGCCAGCCACGCCTCACGGGGCTGGCTGCAAGTACCTGAGGGGCCCAGTACCACTGGCACTTCGGTGGGAGTCGTCTCTTGCTCTTCTTCCCGTGTCTCTGGGGTCCCCTGTCCAGGCAGTGGCAGCGTTGGTCTTCCTACAGCATCTCCTGCAGGTGGGAGAGGGGAGCAGGTGAGCCACGGCCCCATGGCTGCCCACCTTCCCACTTCTGGACACGGTTCCCTCCAAGGACACCAGCAGTGGCTCTTCCCTCCTCCCTGCTGTTCCAGGAACCAAGGGTGGAGCCTAGAGCAGGTCACCCCTTCTGCCTCCTAGGCTCTTGAAATGTAACCTGGCTCCAATCAGAGTTAGCATCTGAGAGCTCTAATGGGTCTTAGATCACATCCAGTCTCACCCATTTCACAGGGGAGGAGACTGAGGCTCACAGAAATGGCCACTTGTCCAAGGCCAGCTAGCCAGTTGGAAACAGAGCCAGAGCGCGTCTCCTGACTCCTGCTTCAGCATTCTTTGGTTTGCAATGCACTTTACAGCTTACAGAGCCCCGCCATAAACATCAACCTGATCTGCCTTCAGAGGGAGCAGGGCTGGCACCGGTGTCCATTTTATAGTGGAGGAAGCTGAAGCTCAGCTTTCTGACTTCTGAGTAGTGCCCTGTCCCCAACCCCAGTGACCAGCAAGGTGGGCTCTGCAGACAGGGAAGACAGGCCATGGGAGGAAGGGCTCTGGCCAGCTGGCCAGCCCCAGTTTCAGCCAGTGCTGCCTCTTCAGTCTCATTCGTACACTGAGAAGCACCATGAAATGCAGAAAGACAGCTGCGGCTAGGGAAATATTTGCCAAGTATCAGGTGTCTTTCGCTGATCTTGCAGCACCTGAGGTGTGGAGAGTCCCTGCAAAAAGCACTCCAACATTGGTCATCCGTGACCTCATCTGATTTGAGCCCCGTGCATCAGCTCATGTGTACTTACTCCACTCCCAGATGAGAATCTCTCCTTCCCTCCCCCCTCTGTTTTCTGGGAGCCAAGAGGAAGAGGGACTCACCTGGGGCCCAGGCAGGAACTTGGGTAACACCGGTTCTGACCTGCATAGAAACAGAAGGTCACTCTTGGCCCCTTGTCATGCCCATGACATGCTTCATTCTGATACACTCAGCCCTGCCTCCAGTCTTCTCATCCAACTTGCTCATTCACTTTTTCTTTCATTCCAGGTATCTGATGAGTTCTTACTACATGCAGGGCATTCTTCCAGGCACTTTATATCCACTGTCTTAATCAATCTTCTCAACTATCCTGTGACAGTAGGTTATAATGGTTAAATGGGCTAATGCATGTAAGGTGCCAGCTCAGTGCCATACCAGCAAGTATCATATCAATGCTTGGATCTTGGATAAAGCAACAGAAGCTCCAGATGTGGACTAGCCTACCTAGGGTCACAGGGCCAGTGTGACAAAGCTGGGCCCCCAGGCCACACCTGGTAGCCTGACTCATCGCAGCACGCACAGAGAGGTAGATAAGCAGTGGGAACCAGGGAAGAAGAATAGCAGAGGATGACAGAGGTCAGGAGCACGACTGGGAATGTGAGGACACAGAAATAGTATGCTAGTCTGGGAGGACAACACATGTTCTCCAGGGAGAGAAGCAGCTCACTGGAGACACAGTTTTTGGGGAGAGGCAGGTATGCAGGTCAGAGGGGCAGGCAGCAGGGTAGGGGCAGCACACTGGTGAGGGAAGAGGCAGATTTACTCCTCTGGGATTTTTTCTAGAAGGACACTCAGTTCTTCACAGGGGAATTCTGGGCACAGGGAAGGGAGTGGAACCCCCTTTTTCAGTGAAGTGGTTTGAGGCTATTCACAGTTCTGCCTCTATTTACCGTGAGCCACTTAGAGGAGAGACCTTGAGGTTTGAGCAAATCAGGCTCAGAAAGTGCCAAATATGGAATTAATCTGGAACCAGTTCTGGACCTCATCTGCATGCTTGATGGCAGCCAGGACTAACAGGACATGTTCCTCCTTCCTTGCTGAGGGGAGGCCAGAGCACCCCAGCTGAGAGAGTGCTTGCACTGAAGCTGCTGCATAAACAGGGGCTGTTACTGCTTCCTTTAGGGAAGGACTGGGTCTTTGGGTCCACCTGCTCATGTTAGCATCTCTCCAAGTTAAGACCTACATTTAACCCTCCCTCACTGGGCACTGCCCTGCAGCCTCAGTGGCTGCCAGGCCCCACTGTCTGCCATGCTCACCCAGCTCCCTGGCGGGAGGACTCCTCACTCACCTGGCCAGCCTGAGAGTCACCTGGGAGGGAAAGGTGAGAACATGAGCTCAGGGGGAAGAGTCTGGCTGCCTCCTCTCCACCACCCACGGCCAGGGCTAGTTCAGTCTGTGACTTCCTGACCTTGTCCCCAGCAGGTCAGCAGTGGGGATAGCTCAGATTCTTCTCACCTGCCTCTGCCCCTGCCACCTGCTGGGATGAGTCACCACAGAGCCCAGAATCCCAGGTCTGGAGGGCCCATGAGGTGGCTTACTTGGTGAGAAAAAGCCTCCTGCTTTCCTTTAAGGCACGTTAGGGACAGGATCTCACCCCTCCTGGGCCAGCCTACCCCATGGTCCTAGCTGTCACCCTCTGGGCCCAGGGAACATTCTAGGAGAGGAGCTGCTCCTGGCATAGCCAATGTCCAATTCCCTTGACAACTGGGGCTCTGTCTGACTTCTTGGTCTGTCTGTTCTAGATTTCTGGAGCCATCTTGGCCATCCCTTAGTTCTCCTGGCCCTAATATGTCCTTTGTCTCCTGCACGGCATGCTACCAGTAACCCAGGTGTGCCTTTGGTGGTTTCCCAGGACACAGTCCGGGTGCCTTAAGCCCAGTCTTTTTCTAGCTCTGTGCCCAAGGCAGTGGACCTGGAATTAGTGCTCTGACTCTAAGGCCAGGGTAAGACCTTAGAGCCTCTTAGAGCCACCCAGACACTCCAGGATCTACCTGCCAGCTCTTTAGGCCTTGCTCTTCAGGCCAGCTCCAGCCCCAGAAGCTGCATGGCCAGAGGCAGGACATGGGAAGGCCTGATGAGCTGGGGTGGGGACTGCTGCAGACCTCCACCAGCACCTCCCTGGGATGTGGGTACCTTCTGGCCCCAAATGGGGGAGGAAGGAGATGAGGTCTTGCCATTATGCCAGGCCAAGAGAGCAGGTTCCCAGGCCTGGGTGCTGCCGCTCCAAACTCCCTTTCTTATGGGAAGCCATGGATCCAGGATAAACAACCAGTGGCTCTTTGAGGTGCCAGAACCCAAGAGGCAGGGTAAGCCCGCAGGCATCTCCCGCAGCCCAGGTACCCTTGTCGGGGATGGTCCCAGCCTCCAGCCAGGTGTCGGTGGCTGCCCGGAGTGGCTGTCTCTCCTCTGGCCCCTGCTGCCTGTGCTCCCTCAGGGGCCTGGCCAGTTCCTCCTCCTCGGCTTTCCTCACGGACAGGCGGATGTCTGAGCTTGAGTAGGTGTAGCCGTGGCCAGCAGGGCAGATCTCCCTGAAGGCCTCTGCAGGGTCAGAGGACAGGTTGAGAGATGCTGTTCCTGCAGGAACCCCGGGCCCTCTCTTCCCTCCCTCTGGGGGAAAAGAGGATTGTGGCAGCAAGGGGGGAGGGACCCCAGGTTGGGGTAAGGAGTTCAGCAGGTAGGTACAAAGGGCCATCTAGTTTGAGGTTAGGTCCAGGTGAGGGAAATGGCCACTAGCTTGGAGGAAGCCCCTTGGTGGCCAGAGCTGATATGAAGTCAGAAGCTTACCTGTGCCAGGCAGAGGGCATTTCTCACACTTGCTGCCCCACGCTTTGCCCACTCGGCTGCAGCAGCATATCTGCTTGGTGATCCTCTGGGCCAAAGGCAGGGTGCAGGTTCCAGGCCCCAGTGACCGGTAGCACAGCCCCTGCCGCATGGAGACAGCCTTGTCCGCTGCAACAGACACGGCGGGTGGGGATGGGCAGGCGGCCAGCGGAGGGGAAAGCGTGGGCAGGAGGGCAGGGAGCAGAGGAGTGCTGGCCTCATGCATTCAGGCTGGCCCGGCTTGCGTCTCATTCTGCAGGTCTGGGCCCTGAAAATTCTCATAAGCACGTTAGGGGGAACAGCACCTCCCCACATTCCCTGTTTGAGGGGACCCTTAACTCTCACCCTCACATGGAGAACCTGAGAGCAGGAAATGGGACGTATGTGCTTGTTTCCAGGTGCTGAGGTGACAAGTGTTTACAGAAGCCCAACATGGGCCTGGGCTCCAGTGGCGAGCAGTGTGCCCTGAGGGCCACAGGCTCCTAAGGGAGATGAGGCAAGGTGAGGACCAAGGGCCTGATGGGGAGCTGTGGGGCAGCTACACTGTCCTGGTCGTCTTGGTGACCCTGGCATTCTGCACAGTGTCTGGTGCAGGCAGATACTCAGTAAGTGCTCATTGGACTGATGGATGGGCAGCTAGATCCACGGATCCACATCCTGTGGCTCTCAGTGAGTGTGGGCTCTGCTGGGCTTAGATAATAACAATACCACCACCACTGTCCCCTTTCTTGTTCTTTGATAGTAAATATTACAGACTACTCTCTTGTACGTTATCTCAGTGGGAGGTGAGGAGGCCATCCTGCGTTGGAAGACACCGAATCCCTAGAGGGCCAGATGAGGGCATGAGGGGCAGGGTGAAGACGATGACACTCAAAGCTGAGGAAGTCACAGGACCCAGGATCCAGCAGACCAAGTTCAAATCCCTGCTCCACCATGAGCCACACAGCCATCCTGGGCTCCACCTCCTTCATGTGTGAACTAAGGATGATGATGAGAATTCCATGCATAGTAGACACCCCGCATGCCTGGCATCTTTGCCCCCATATTCTTCTAACAGCACCCTGGTTTTCCCATGGACTCATCCTTGCCCCCACGTGGAATGGCGGCTGACCCCACTTCCTAGCTGAAGGATGTAGTCCATAGCCCGGTCACAGTGATTGCGTCAGGGGTGGGCCCTTGACCAAGTGGGCCCAGTGATAATGATCAGCTTTGGGACTTTTCCTGGGTTATTAGAAAAGAGGTGCTTTTATTTTTCTGTTTTTTAATTGAGTTTGTAAGGCTGGGAGGTGTAGGCCTGGAGCATCTGGCAGCTACCTTTGAAGCAACTAGGGAATCAACACAGAGGAAACAGAGCAAGAGACATCCTAAGACGCTCTGGGTGCCAGGATCCAACCTAGCCCAAGGCGCCCCTGCGCCTGGACCCCCTAGTTGTATGGACCAGTGAATTATTTTTCCTTATAGTTGGGTTCCTTTGAGTTGGGTTTTGGGTTTCTGTCACTTGTAACCCAAAGACTCCTGACTACCACATCTCCTTTGCAGTGATGTCTAAGGCCAGGTGCTATACACAGCCCATCACCAGTCAGTCCACCAGCCTGGGTCTCCAGGTGCAATCTCTGCCTTCAGCGGACACGGCCCTTGGGACGCCATAGGGAACGGCTCAGTCTCTGAGCCGCAGTGTGGAGGTCACCTAGCTAGGAATTTCAAGAGGCTGCCGCAGCACAGAGAGGGCCATGCAGACTGCCTACTGGCCCCGGTCAGGTGGCAGGGAGTGGGGCAAAGCCCAGAAATGAAGGAAAGAGAAGCTTCATGCCTACCCACACCCACCTAAAAGCATGCGAATCATTGGAGGAGGCTGGAGGTGGTAACATTAGGGAGGGAGAAAAAATAAAGAATACCCAAAGGCCATCCCTGCCTCCCTGTATTAAAGGTCTCTTTCTGGCACTAAGAAATAAAAGTCGCCTCAGATGTTAAATGCCTGCCTGATAAAGGAAGCCAAAGAGGGGTGTGGTGGGGAAGAAGGAAGTGCTGCATCCTCCTCAAGGCCATGTCTACATGTTTCTGCCCCCATGAAGTCTTCCTCAGAGTGGCCTGACGTGTTCTCCCCACTCCGGGTCCCCTCACTCTCTGAGTGTCCCCTCAGAAGGCTCCCACTACCCCTCTCCCTGGAGACACTCACTGGGCCCATCTCCTCTCCCTCCACGTGGGATGCTCCCTCTGGGAGACCCTGGAGTCATGTTCATCCATGGCCTCCCCAGCCCCAGTACCTGGCAGTTTGCCACCGGAGGGCACTCTGCTGAGCTGGGGTGGTGGTACTCCCTGGCTGCCACTTAGCGGGGGCCAGTGGGGGGCCGGTGTTACTCAGGTCTGGCCAGGACTCCCTGCCTAAGGAAAGCCCTCTCTGGGCCTTGGTGGTGGCTCTGCCCTCGGGGGGGTGCCAGCTGGGCCTCCCGCAGCTGGGAACCACGGAGGTCACTGAAAACGGCTGTCTGCGTACCATGTGTGCACATGCACAGGCACAGTGCTGATGTGACTAGTGACACGTGAGTGGTTGTGGTCACAGACACACACTCAGAACCATAGGGGATCCAGGTTTACAGGATGGCCCTGGGGCCAGGCAGCAGTGTGATTCCTGCTCTGGGCAGGCCCTTTAAGAAAGGTCTGCAGCTAAGCAGCCAGGCTGCTAAGCTCAGGGCTTGGAAGACGCAGCCACAGCTCAGTCAGACATTAGAGCAGAAGCAACACACATCCCCGTAAAGTAAATGAGGCAACAGAAATGATTTAAGAGAAAACAGAAGTGAAAAACTTCAAACTGCAAAGCCCCAAAAGAAATGCCTAAAGCCAAAAGTCGTAACTGCCTCCATTCCAGCCTCTCAGGGCTTGGAAGACGCAGCCACAGCTCAGTCAGACATTAGAGCAGAAGCAACACACATCCCCGTAAAGTAAATGAGGCAACAGAAATGATTTAAGAGAAAACAGAAGTGAAAAACTTCAAACTGCAAAGCCCCAAAAGAAATGCCTAAAGCCAAAAGTCGTAACTGCCTCCATTCCAGCCGGCAGGGGGGAGATCGGTTTTTGTACGTTGGACCCAGTTTCAGATTGAGTAGCAGATATGGCCCTGGGATGGGGCCTGGGGGAGATTTCTGCTTGGGGCCTGGCCTGTGGACCTGGGGGGCCCCATCCTGCCTCCCAGCACCCCCACTCCCAGTCCCTGGCAGCACTCACACACACAGCGGCTCCTGGAGGGATCCAGCATGAGGCCAGGCCGGCAGGTGCACAGGTAGCTGCCCCTGGTGTTCACGCAGTCCGAGTCCTTGCACAGGCCCAGGGTCAAGCACTCATTGATATCTGTAGGGTTGGAGGAAATGACCAAGTGCCCGTCCCTCTGAGGCCTGATGGAGGGGGTAGCTGGGGCAGAGAGCTTCAAAAACTTTCTTCAAATAAAAAGACAACAATAAGAGAGCTCCATTTCTTAAGTGTGATCCCTCTCTGTGCCTCAGTTTCCTCATTTGTAAAATGGGAATAGTAATTCTACCAGGTAGTCTCTTTAGGAGGAGAAAATGAGATAAAAATTGCCAATCACTTAGTCCAGTAACTGATAATGATTATAATATTGAGAGCTGATGTTTATTGAGTGGCTGTTATGTGCCAGGTACCACGCCAGGTGGTTTACATATAAAACCTCATTCAATTCTCACATTTTTATTAATCACATGCCCTCCTTTTAAGGGTGAGGAACCTGAGGTTCGAGGAGTAACTTGCCCCCAGTCATTCAGCTAGTAAGTGACATGCTGGGATGCAAACAGGGGAAGCAGATAAGGGGACAGCTTGGGTTGGAGGGTGGAGAAGGGGCTGCCCAGTCCCTCCTATTCAGCCTTCCTTGGGAGACCCTGAAGCATCTCTGCAGGACCCAAGCTCTGGGGCACATGTCTGCAGTGAGCTGCAGGATGGAGGGCACTGGCAAGGAAGAGGAAGCAGGAGGCTGGAGGCAGGTGCTGGTGGGCAGAGGGTTAGGAGGGCACACTCCCAGGGGGCCAGGAGGCTTCAGGCAGGCTGCACACCTCCCCCAGCACCAGTGGATGTTCATGCTGCTCTTCAAATAAGGCAGCTCCATTAGCTTCCTTTGTGATCTCAAGAACATTTCATACCGGAAACTTCTTCCCGCCGAGGGGAAACCCCCTGCTGCATACTCTAAGCTCCAAGAAGCTAGGGGCTCCCCACCCCCCGGTGATGGGGCCTTTGTTGGTGGTGATGGCAGTAGAGACAGTGAGCAAGAAAGATTCATAAGGGCACCCCCACCTCCAGGGCTGGGGGATTCCACGTGGCCACCCAGGGTCATCAGAGCCACCTGCTCACCCACGGCTTTGGGGAAACTGGCACTGAGCACAAGACTGAAGAGGCTGAAAGATGACCCAGCTTCTCCGTGGCAGGGCACCCTATGGGAGGGAGGTGTCTGGGAAAACACTCCTGAGATGTAGGAAGGGGAACTGACCCATTTGCCTCCAGACTGCGGCCAGAGAGATACATCTAATTGTAAATCTGACTTGTCTCTGGGGCCCGCAATGCCTCCTGGAGGGAGCCCCTGAACCCTCCACCATATTTCCCCAAAGTCTGTGGGTGAGCAGGTGGCTCTGGTGAGACTCTGGGATGCTGTATTACCTCCTGTGAGTACCCAGGCTGTATTCCAGCCAGCCCAAACTGTTCCTTCGCTCATGCTGTTCCCTCAGCCTGCAGTGCCTGCACCCCCTTTGGCCAACTCTACTCATTCTTTAAGTCGAGGCCAGGTATGATCTGAAGACTTCTATCCTCCCAGTCTGGGGAGGGCCCACAGCACCCAGTGCTTCTTTCCCTCGAGAGCACCCCTCTCACTGTGTGTAATTGTTTAAGCATCTGTCTTCACCTGGGGCAGTGGCTGTGCCTCAGCCATCACCGGGTATTAGCACCTAGCATGATGGATTCAGTTCATGGCCACACCCGAAGTTACCCTGTGGAAGCAGGGGAAACGGATGGAGGAGAGGGAGGGTTGGTGCAGGAGGGTACTGAGGTGAGCAGGTTCCTTCCCAGACACAGAGACCGTGGCAGCAGGTTCGGGCTGGGAAGGCTCCAGGGCTGGGGCCTCCTGTACCCTGGGGCTCAGTGGAGGGAGGGCAGAGAGCTCCTGTGAGGTCCAAGGAATAACTTTGACCCCCCAGACTGGGAAGCATGCCAGGAGAGGCCCCTGGGGACAGAGTAGATATGTGGGCCCTATTGCACTCTCTAAGGGCAAAGCTACACACTTGTCTCCACACCCACTGACCACCAGGCCCACCAGTGCCGCCAAGGGAGTCTGCCTCTGGGCTGGGCTGGGACAGAGGCCTGCCCAGGGACTTTGCCCATAGGCCACAGATCCCCACTGGCAGACAGCCCAGCCACCCCCTGGGGCTGCCTCAGACTCCTCTGCCCTGAAGAAGCCTCCAGGGGGAGTGTACCTGGAGGCCGTCTGGGTCAGTCCCTTGCCTCTAACCCTGCTTCACCCAAAGCGAGTCACACAGACAGCGATTTCTCCAGTTCTCAAAGCTCTCCAAGGGGAAGCTGCCTCAGCTCCCCCGTGACCTCTGCCAGCCCCAAGAGCCTCTCATTGGCTAGAAGGCCCTGCTCACATCACATCCAGTGCCAGGCCCGCAGACAGCAGGGGCCCCCTGCTCTGAGCCTAGGCTGCTCAGCAGCAGCAGGTGCCCCCTCAGTGGGGGCCTCTAGACCCCTCAGTCATCCTGTTCCCACTCCCTGCCCACACTGGAATCCCCGGTAGTGACAAAGCCACAGCTGGGCCCCACGTCCCACCCCTCTGTGCCAAGACGGTGAGGCCCCTCTGGGGGCAACCTAGTACAGAGCACCCCAGGCCTCAGCTGGCCTTACAGAGCCAGCCCACCAGGCTAGCAAGACCAGGGGCTGAGTCTTGTGCCCCCTGACATCTGTGCTCTACCCGTCCCCATCCCCATCCTGGCTGTCGGGAGAAGTCTAAATAGCTCAAGGTGCTTTACTGGGGAAAGTCCACAGAGTCCCCATCAACTTGAGTCAAAGGTCCCCCCTCTCCAGGGAGATCGGCTCTGGAGGTGAGTGGATGTGCCGGGGCTGGGAGGCACCTTTAGACAGGGCACTGCGCAGCGCTAGAGGGGCACCCGACCCAGGTAGGGTGGGGATGGGTGGGGATGGGTGGGGATGGGGAGGAGGGGGTTGGCTCAGCTCCCAGGCCCCTTCTTGGCTTGCTCTGTCACTATCCCCCAGCTTCCTCATACCCCCAGGACCAGCAGCCTCCACATTTCCCCTCCCAAGCCCAGCCCTGGCCCCGGGCATCTTACCTTGGCAGTGAGTGAGGTTCAGTCTCTTGTACCCCTGGGGACACTCCAGCTGGCCATTTTCAATCACGGGGGAGGCTGAGGAGGGAACATGCAGACAGGTTTCACTGGAGGCCTCTTGGGCTCCTCTGCCACCCATGCCGGGAAGAGGGGAGCAGTCTAGACAAAGAGGGGAGCAGTCTGGACGAAGAGGGGAGCAGTCTGGACATCGAGCAGTGAGGCCCCAGCCCACAAGCCATCACTCTGAACAGCTGGGTGCCCCTGTGGCAGAAATCCCTTCCCTGGCTCTCAGCAGGCTGCTCCCGGCCCACATCACTCTTACAAAAACTGATACTCAGTGATTGCATATCTTGTATATAATTATAGTATTATATACAGTATATTTTATATTAATGTTATACAAAAGAACATATGAATGAACAAGGCTTCTTTTTTTTACTTGTTTTTGAAGTAATTATAGATTTGCAGAAAGTTGCAACAAATAGTACAGAGAGGTCCTGCGGTGTCCATCACCCAGTTTCTCCTAAGGGTTACATCTTACACAGCTGTAGCTGTTTTATTTGTTTTTAAAAGCTGGATACAATAACTCTTAGTCTATTTCTAAGTTCAGTTAATTTTGATACTTGGTTGTAAAGCTGTCATAGCTGACAAGGTATCTTAGATCAAGATGGAAGAAGCTAATTGCTGAGGCACTCCTAAAACCATGGTATTCATTTTTCTCTCACATTCACCAACTGTGTGATGCTGTGGTTGAAATTGGCTAATGAATTTCCATCTTCCCTGAGGTCTGTTAGCTGTTCAATTTCCAGTTTTCAATTTTTTTAAGTGTGCAAATGGAGATGGTTTACAGCAACAGATCACATAAAGACGGAACCATTTTCAAACGTGCACTTTCAAAAGGCTCTCCTTGGAGCATGAGGGCACTTGAGAAGCAAGCAGCCCGCTTGAAGTTCATAGGAGACGAAACTGCGCAGATGCCTGAATCCAGATTGACCAACAAGGAAATAAGTCTCAATATTTTGGTGCTGACTCATGGCCTACCTTGATTTCACAACTTTCTCCTTTACTTGAAAGAGAAAACAAAAAGTGTGCTTAAAAAAACCATTCACATTAAATAAAAACAGGGAAAACATCTCCATTACTTTGGAGAGACAGGCTAGTTTGTCAACATTCAAAGTATTGCTTTGAAGCATTTTTTTAAAGGTTTTTTTCTTTTTTCTTGTAAAGCTCTAGCAGGTATCATTTTATTGACAGCCACCTGTCATCACAGAGAAAGGCAGCAAATGTGGAACACACCTCTTTTTGTTAAAAAAAAAAAAAAGAAGAATTTATCTTTAAGTTTGGCAATTCCTTTGTCAAAATATAGCCAGTAATTCCTAAGAGACACAGGGGTTTTCCTAGATACTATTCCAACATGAAGTTTCATAAAGGCACCATTATATTTTAAAGGTCTTGTTTTATAAAGTTAACGTCTTTATGACTTCCTGTAGCAATATTCTTCGGACTTCAACTTCTTTGTGGCAATCACCGGCCTATGTTCACTGTGGTGAGGAGATCTCACACACAGCGATCTCCAACTCCATTCCCTTTCCCAGATTCCTTGTCTAGCATCAGCGGCTACATGTACAGAGTTGATTGGTGAAGCTTGTTTTTATTCAGGAAGTCATTTACTCCTGACAATATATGTCTTCTGGCACACCCCTTTTTTAGTGAGGTCCAAAAAGATAGCTCTCCATTTATTTTATGGTTGAAATAGATTCTTGCAAGTACCAACAAACATGTTAGAAGTACTATACTTTCATCCAGTTGCACAGCAAAGTTTGAGTGTCTCAGTGTTTTTCAGTATTTTTCTAATCACAGAAGCCATCTCTAGGGGACTCATTCCCAGTTTCCTTAAAACTAAGTGCAGCATCCAATCCAGAAAAATCAGCTTACATTTCTTTGGCGGCAAAGAACAAAATTTAGATGGCCGTGTGGGAGGGAGAGACCTCGGCTTGGGACAAGAACTCAGTACCCACCCAGGATCAGAGTGAGCTTTGGGCAGCTAGTGAGCTGCATGGTCACAGTGATGGTGGCCCCTGCCACCCACAACAGGTGTGCCTTTCAGGTGCTCCCAACACATGCAGGCCTTCCCTTGTCAGAGCGCTTAACACACAATGCTGTCCCTGCCCTTCTGCTTGTCCACCTCCCCTGCTTACACGGAGAATGAGCTCTGTGAGGACAGGGACCTTGTCTTCTTCATCACTGCTGTGCCCCTAGAGCCAAGTACAGCACAGGGGACAGTACAGGCACTAAACCAAAATGGAATGAATAATAATAGCAAACACTAAAATAGCACTTAGTATGGGCCAGTCCCTATTATGAAGTCTTTCCATGTACTAACTTATTTAATCCTCCCTGAGCCCTTGGCAGTACTAATAATATCCCCATTTTATGGATGAGCAAACTGGGGCACAGAGGTTAAGAAACACATCCAACGTCTCTCAGTTGACGGATGGAGCTGGGATTATGAACCTAAGCAGTCTGCCTCCAGAGGATACATTCCTCCCTATTGCCTCCAGATAAATAAATGAATGAGTTTGTGACAAGCCTTAGGAGTTGTCCATGCTAAGAATCCTGGGATCTGGAGACCACAGGGAGATGCCTGCTCAGCAGGAAATGTATCACCCTTCCCAGGAACCGCCTTTTTTTTTTTTCTTTTACAAAGGATCAGGAGAGTGAATGGGAAAAAAAAAGAGAGAGAAAAAGAAAGGCAGGGGTACCAAAAAGGAGGTCAGAAGAACTAATCAGATGCCAGATAAATCCTCCACAATGTCCATAACCAAAGTGCTATGCAGAACCGATAAAGGAAATGGTGAAGAACCTGTGCTATCCCTCATGGCCCCTCAGCCAGATCAAGGATAAAACAAGGTGTCAGAGCAGAGAGGAGAGGATCTGTGAGATCTGGAAAGACGGAGAGGTGACGTTGTGATCCCCCTGGGTGCTTCAAAGAAACAGGGGGAGCTGCTGGCAACCCTGCAGTGGGGCCTCAGACCTGAGAAAGCCGTCTTCTGAGGCGTCAGCAGGGAGCAACCTGCACTCCAAGGAGTCTGAACATCACAGAAGTGCCATGAAGCATATAGGACAGATGTGCATGACTTTCCTGGTGAGGAAACCTGTACCACGGGGGCCTGGAACTCAGGTCTTCTGGCTCTTGACCCCAGCTGAACTGCTGAACTTTGACCTGCTCACAGATCAAGGACAGAAGCAGAGGGGCCCCTGGCTCCAGCCTGCCCCTGCCCTGGTAATTCTTCTCCTTGGCTTCTGGGACTCCCAAGGGCCAACTAATTGCTGGAGACAGTTTTGGCGCAAATTCTACTACACAGCTTGGGGAGGAGACGGTGGAGACATATTTCTGGCCACAGGGCTGTTTACAAGCCATGTTGATCCCAGGTTGAAATGACAGATGGCTGTAGCAGGGAGATGCAGAGAGTGCCTTAACATATCCCCTGTGTCCAGAAAACACACACGCACACTGGATGGGGCCAAGCTCCATGCACAGGGGCATGTGGGCAGGCTGGAATTGAACCCCTGATTTGCGCACCTCAGGTGGCCAAGTGGGAAAGAAACTTGTCTCTCAGAGCAGTGGACAGAGTGTGGGCACCGGGGCAGCTAGCCCCTCAGTGAATCCTGGCTCCCCTCTGACTAGCTGAATGACTTAGGGCACATTTCTTAACCTCTTTCGGTCTTAATTTTTTCATCTGTAGAAGTGGGGAGAGAAACTCAGTTTGTGGGTTGTTAAGAGGATTACAGAAACAAGCAATGGCAGAGTAGAGCTAGCACAATGGCTGGCACAATCCCTTGTAGATGTTCCCCAAGGCTTCCTTCCTCTTTCCTTCCTTCCAGCAACACAGTTTCCAAGGCAGCAAGCTGGCCTGCTGCCCCACACTGGCTCAGGAGACTGGGGCAAGTTACTCAACTTTTCTGAGCCGTGGTATTCTTACCAGTAAAATGGGAGTGACAACTCCTGTTTTGGGGGCATCGTAAACCCTGAACAAGCATGCAAGACTCTCAGTGCAATGCTTGTTACATGTTGGCGATCATCATAATGTCCATTATTTTAGACTGTCTTCTTTGGACAGTCCTAATGGATCCCCCCCGATGACTGTGGAAATTCCACCTAAAGATGGGCTCTGAGTGCTTCCTCAGGGTGGCCAACGTGGGAGTCTTGGTCACCACGAAGAGGGATGTGGAGAAGGGTCTGGTCAGACCCCTGGCTTAGACAGGCACCACTCCAGCCAACCCCACCCTGGCCAGTGATGCCACGTGTCAGTGACACCCCCACTGGGGGCAGGAGGGTGCTAACTTAAGCCACAGCACAATTCCCAGGAGACTTCCTGTCCCTTGGAAGCAGCTCTCTGAACATCCTTGAACTAAATGTCCTCTGAATGCTGCTTTTCTCAGCCCCACAGCTGGAATTCTGAAAATCCCATTTCTTCAGGGCAAGAGACTGGGCGTCTCACCCAGAATCCCAGAAACAGGAGCCCCACCCCAACACAGCTGTTCCCCAAGCCTGGGTCCTCTAGTTTACTTAGCAAATGCCCAGGCCAAGTGCATAGAAAGGAGCACAGGAGGCAGATTACAGAGTGGTTAGAAGCAGAGGCCTGGGGTCATACACACACCTGGGCCTTCAGGCCCAATTTAGTCACACCCAACCCTCAGAGATGTTGTCAGGATGCAGTGAAATGAGGAAACGCTTAGTGTGGTGCCTGGCACTTATTAAGTGATCTAAACACTTGCTGACAACAGTGGTGCCCGTAATGGTGCTGCCTGCTCCAGACCTCACCTTGTGCCCACATCACTCTCACTCTCTCGGCAGGGGCTGGCTTCACAGACCTGCACCTGTGACATCCTCATGGGCAAAGGTCCTGATAAGACTAAGACAAACCAAAGATTTCTTTCTATTGAGGGTTTCACATAAATTTCTTTCTGTTGAGGGTTTCAGACATATAACCACCCTTTCCACAAGAATGAATTTCCTTTCCCAGTTCCTATAAACCTGTTCTTACTTGGTGCCCTCTTCATGGTGGGCTGCTCAGTACTTCTGGGTACATGCCATTATATTGCTGGGCAGCTGCAGTTCTTAATAAGTTGTCCCTTGTGCTCAGTTTTGAGTTGAGCTCTGCTCACCAGAAACATGCACACATTGGCTTTCGCTTTATAGAACAACATGGAACAAGCCTACTGGCTCCCCCACTGGACAATTCTTTCAGCATATCACTGTTAACTCTTAAGCCGGAGCTGCAGGTTGCTGCCCTGCCTGTCTTTTCGCCCTCAGTGTTCTTGAGGGATGTTGTCCTTCATGTACATGTAACTCATGAAATACATTCCTGGGCTGCACCCTCCTGGGTGTGGGATCCTTGTCTGGTGTACTGATTTTTGCTGTCTCCAGGCAGGCCCAAACCTCTGCAGAATGACTAGGGAGATCCTGGCAACTGAGAATCAGACACACTGTGGTCTGAATCTTAGCTCCTCTGTTCTAGCTGTGTGACTTTGGGCAAGTTCTTGTCTGCTCTGAGCTTCATTTTCCTCACCCATAAAAAAGCAGATAAAGTTCCTTAGCTTTGCAAGTGGTTGGGGCAATTAAATGAGGTAATGCCAGTGTAGAGCCCAGCATAGTGTAAAAGTTCAGTAACTGGTGGTTACTATTATTTTTAAGAGGGAAGGACGCAGAATTCCTTGAAGGGGCAGAGCAAGAGAATCAGCTCTCCTTGCAGATACAGGGAAGGGCCTGCGTTCTGAGGTGAACTCATCCCACGCCCAGCAAATGGATAGATGATCTAGTGGCAAATAGCTGGAGGCCACCACTGAGGGCTGAGAGTAGTGTGCCAGCCCCGCCTGCCCCAGCAAAGGGGCCTTGGGGTTGACATAGCCAGTGCCAAGCCAGATGGGGCAGCAGCCAGCTTTCCAGTCAACCCAGATGTCTGTCTTTCTAAGGTAAAAATTTTTTTAAATGTGGCCTCAATCAAAGTGGCCTTTGAGAACTGTGTGCTCTTCAGGGGAGTGGCAAAAGCTCTCAGCTGGGACCTTTGACAAATCCCAAGGCTGAGTCCTGAAAGATGGGCTGCATCTGTCACTCAGAGTGAAGAGAGAATGGGGGCCACAGTCTGGCCTAAACATCTCCCTGGGAAAGGGGGCACTGGGGAACTTTTCTGCAAGAAAACGATTTGTGCTATATAAACATTTCAAGAGAGTTCTTCTCCATGTTAGGAAGAGCAGCATGCTGCAGGGACCTTCTTGAACAGTTCAGTGTGGTGCTCCAGAAGCCAAGAGATGATTTAGGGGGAGCCATGAAGTCTGAAGGGCACAGCCATACATTATCAGAGGAGAAGCAGAGGTTCAGAGGGGCAAAGCCACCTGGCTGAGAATGTTCTAGAACCCAGAAGGGTGGCCTATCTTGTCAACCATTCCCAAATCCACTCCAGCAGCTCACCTTTTCATCCACTGGCACAGTAGCTTGCTTGTCACGCCTACTTAAAGAAACATTCCCCACCCCTGCCCCAGGCTCAGGCGTGGAGTTAGGTGTTTGGCATCCTGTCAACACAAACAATGTTCCCCAGAGGCTTGCTGCTTCTCTATACAATGCCCAGCTGCACTTTAATGTGTTTTAAATGTTTACGTTGCTTGGTCTTTGTTATTTCTTGCTCAGTGTGCTGGAATGCTTGACATCCCCTGGTGCCCCACTTGCTGAGTTGTGCTGAACACAGTGGGGGAGGAGGCTTGGGAGGCACTACGTGGGACAGGGAGGGGGTGAGGGCTCACCCTTGGGTGTGCTGTGCTCCTGGAAGTCTTGCTCACTCTCTTGGTATCACCTGCATATGCAATTTCCTTGGGATGTTAAGCTTTTCGCCATCTCTTTGGCCTACTCTAATAATTCTTCAGTCTCCTCCTGGATGTCACCCCCTCTAAGATGTGCTCCCTGACTCACCAGTTTGAGCTGGGACCCCCTACCCCACAGTGTACAGACGTGTAGGTTATGCATTGCACAGAAGCACCACATCTAAGAGAATCATTGGCACCCTAGATTTGAATATTTATAAAGACTGTTTTGAACAAATGGAAAGGACACCTTTCTCTAATTTGCACAAAGGTGCTACAGGACCCATCAGTGGCCCCAGTTCTGCTGTCTGTGTTGGCATAGCATTTGGCACTTGTCCAGTCAGTGCTACCTGTATATTCCCCCCACACCCTATGACTAAGTTTGGAGAAGGGAGGGCCTGAACACTAGGGGCACTTCAAACAAGTGCTTCATCAGGGCCTATATAGTTGTTGACTGAATGGAATGTGGGATATAGAAGTCTCAAGGAGGGCCTGCCCAGGAGGAGGAAGAAAAACACAGAAAAGAAAAGTGGTGAAAACATCTCTGTCCTGCAGGGGGAGGTGCTGAGCAGGGGCACGGGTCCATTCCCTTTTCCCTTTCTGGAGGGATACTTTCTAATAATAATTATAACAGTTGCTGTTTATCCACCTAATGCTATGCACATGCATCAATCTAATTTACTCTCCACAGCAGCCCTATGAGATGCAGTTCAGGTACAGGGCAGAGAGAAGTCAGCAGGCAGAGCTGGGACTGGGAGCTGCTCAGTGACAGATGCTCAAGCTAAAGTCTGGTACTACCCTTTGCTGCTTCACCAAACATTCTATCACATGGTGAATTGGCTCTGACTTATTTTTAGTTTGGAAAATATGGTCACTGCTCCACAGCTGACTCTGAAGTTAGGAACAGTCCTGCCCCTCCCACCTTTGGGCTCCGGGCCAGGCCCCCCACAAAGCCAACTCACCAAGTTCAGCTGCTGACAGGCAAAAGAAATGCATGTCAGGCCCAGGCCCAGAAGTGAGGCCTGGAGAGGGGACATAGGCGAGCAGGCAGATGCCAGACTCAGGCAGGGGAACCTCATCAGCCGCCTCCCCACTGTAAGATCAACACCTGCAAGAGCAGCATGAATGCACGTTGTGCTCACCCCTAAATCCTCAGTGCTTGGCATTCATGAGGCACCTGGTGAATATTTGCTGAATGAACGAAGTTTAGGTTTTTCCTACCATCTGAAAGAGGACAGGGAACTGGGTTTCCCATAACCCAAGGCTGAGAACATTCTGGCACAGACACACAACCCTGATTCAAAGACTGGGAGGCAAGAAACAGGGAGTGAGGAGGTGGCCTGAGGGCCCCTCCAGGGAGAGAACAAGGACACCAAGTCACTAGATGAAGACCTCTGGGTCCTGGTACCTGGGCAGGGGAGTATGCAGAAGGAGACTGAGGGGAAGAAGAGGGTCCAGGGATCCCTAAAATCTTAGCAGGAACCACAGGCAGGAGGGAGGAATCGCTCCCAGGCAGTCAGGTAGAGCAGGTGTGCCAGGCTGCACCTGGCAGGGAGGCTGGGCTATCTGCATGCTGAGGAGCCTTGGCCACCAGCCAGAAGCACCTACAAAGCAGATCTGGAAAGCCTGCCCAGCTTACCAAGCTGCTCTACCTGCCTGGCCTCTGAGGCCTTGGTGGGAGATGGAGAGGGCACCCCACAGCAGAGGCCAGGTCCTGGGAGCTTTGCCCACCACCCTGGACCCAGGTGCCCAGCACTTACCTGGTCTGGGTGGGCACAGGGCACATGAGGTCACCCCCCAGAAGGCTCCCACACTGCCACAGCAGTCCTCTTGGGTAGTCAGCTCCAGCAGGGGGTTGGCACACTGGAAAAGAGGCCATGGACACCTGTCACCCCTTCTTCCCTCACCTGATGTGCACAGAGATGTCCCAGGAAAACCTGAGACAAGAGCTCACCTCCCATATCTACCAGAGGATGCTCCCACCCAAGGGAGGGGAGAAGAGTCAGCCTGTCCTGGAAGGCAGCAGAGTGACCTGTGGTCTGCTCCTCCAAACTCTAAACTTAGTGAGGCAGGCACACCCCAGACAAGACAAAATATGCCTCTGGAGGTCTGCAAACTGCCCCTTTGTGTTCCCAGTCCACAGACAGAGGTTCCCAAAGGATGGGCTTTCCTCCATCAAACTCCATGGAACTCCAGGGTCACCCACAATGCAAGCCTTCCCAGGGAGCAGGGTCCAGGCTCAGAACACCACAAGCTGAGAGGCCAGGGAGGATCTGGGGACTCAGAGGCCCTAGCCCTTGGTACTCCCCACCTCCTCCAATTCCCTAACCTCAGAAGTTTCTGGAAATACCAAACTACAACCCCAAGGTCTGGCTTAGCCCTTACTTTTAGGTGCCTAGACTCAGAAAAGCTTACCTGATTTCCCACCACTGACTGTGGATGCCTGAGGGGATGACATAGAATGTCTCTCATCTTTCACCCCCAAGGCTTTGAGGCTTAACCTGCATTTGCTAATTCCACATCTCTGTGGCCCCAGTCTCAACTGAATACCAAACTCCTCACCAGATCTAACAGGCCCACTGTCCATGCACCGGAGGGGTCTTGGGCTCAGCTCCAGGAGAGTTCATGATTTACTGGGACCTGAGAATGCTGGTGCCCCGCCAGAGGGGGAATCTTGTGGGTCATCTTCTGCATGCCTGGCACTGATCAGTGGACCCTAGGTAGGAGAAGCCCTCTCCTCACCCAGGTAATTTTATGCCCTGAGTTTTCCTATGTGGGGAGTAAGTAGGAGACCCTGCAGATATATTCTGTAAGAACGAGGATGAGAGAGAAAGAAGGGGCACAGAGGGGGGAAATCACTATTTTGGAAGCCTCCAGGACTGAGGCAGGGGCTGTGTTCTCACCTGTCCATTTATAGCGCTCAGGTAGCAGCGGCCCAGCAGTCCCTGAGGCCTGGGCACCACCGGGGGCCGAGGGGCCTCTCTGGTCCGAGTGGGGATGATGTTACTGCCCCAGTGGCCCTGGCCGGGTCTGGCAGGGAGCCGGGGTGAAGGTCTGGTCTCCACGCTGTTCTCCTCCGGGGCCTCACCCCGTACCCGTGCCACCTGGTGGACCTGCACAGAGGCCTCCGGTGGGTGGTGGATGTGCACCTTCACCAAAGAGGGGTTCACGGAGGCTGGGCACAGGGGCTGGGGTCAGAGCCAGGGAAACAGCCCACCCTCTGCAGTGTACCCACCAGCCCTGGGCTGGGCAGGTGGCTGGCTGTGGGTCTCCCCCAAATTCTCCTTCCATTTCTTCACTCTCTACTCAAAGGCCAGAATAATTCCCCGGTGAGGTCAGGGTGAAGTGCAAATTCCTTCCTTCCCCACTTTTAATGAAGGACCTTCATTATCACCTTCCAAACCACTTCCTGATTCTGCCTCCTACAATGATCTGCACAACCAGCACTCCAGCTGGGTCTGCAGGGCCCGCCTCGTGCCAGTCCCACTGCGGGGGGCCCCCTTCCTGCTCCCCGCTGCTTTACCAAGGGCTACCCATCTTTCAGGCTAAAAGGAAGTCCATCTCCTCCATGCAGCCCAGGCTTGGGTGCCTCCATCCTCTGACCTCTTATACAAGTCAGTATTTTTTTGTACCCTTGATTTGGTACCTAATAATGGAAGGCAGAGGACAGGAAATGTTTTATGATGACGTTCTCTTTCCCATCTATCCTTCCTCTATTGTCCAGGCCTGTGGGTTCTTGAAGGCAGGATCCTCTTACACTCACTCTTTTGTCTCACCCATAGCACCCAGTAGGGGGAAAGGACCAAAAAACTGAGGAATGCTGAGGAAGGGCAAAGAGAACTTTAGGGAATGAAACTGAGCCCGAGGAACAGAGAAGAAGGAGGAGGTTTTGATTGAAGAACAGACTGCCAACAGCCTCCCTGCCGCCGCCACGATGCCAGCAGCCCCTGCCCGTTCCCCAGTGCCCCTCCCAGCCCAGCACTCTCCCAGCCCCGTGCTCACCCAGCTGGTTGGAGAGAGGCAGTGTGAAGGTGGACTGCCTCAAGGGCACTTCCAGCAGGTCCCTGGGATGGGAGCCCCTCTCTGGAGACTCCCTGTCCAGCTTCGGGGCAGGCAGGTGGCAGAACTTCCCGGTGGAGTTGGCCGGGCACCAGCACTCATCCCGGCCAATGCAGCGGCCTCCATTCAGGCAGGGGATCTGGCAGAAGTCTACGACATTGACCTCAAGGTGACCGGAGGTGGAAGAATATAGCAGCACCCACCGGGTGGCCAGTGGGTGACAATGGAGAAACAGGGGGAGCAGTACCCCAAATCTGGGAGGCTTAGGGAGGCCAGCAGTTCCTGAAGTACAGGGACTTTCCAGGAAGCTGGGAAGTGAAGATGGGTATTCCCCAGCCCCAGCCTTACAAAAAGGCCCCTTCATGCCTTTCCTCAAACCCACAATAACCTGGGGGACAAGAGGGCAGTGGGATCATTAATTTCCTCACTTCTCCGTGGAGGAAACTTGGACTCAGGTTATGTGACTGGCTCAGAGTCACACAGCTAGGCTGTGACAGAGCTGGGCGAGGACTCAGCATTCCATGTGATTGAGGACAGCTTATGGAAGTCACAGTATGAAAGCAGTCGGCTTTCTTCCTGCAGAAGAGCAGGCCTCTCCCTCTGCCCCACCACCCACCCAGGGCCAGCCAGGAACCCACTAAGGGGGGAAGTGACTCACAGATGCGGAAGCCAGACTTAGGGTCATGCCCGTGGCCGCCCTGGCTATACAGGGTGGTGGTGTCACCGCGCTCACAGCTGTTGGAACAGTGCCCATGGGCACAGGTCTGCTTGCAGATGGTAGGGGTGAAGACAATCTTGATCTTCTTAATTTTCTCTGTGAGGTTCAGCCCTGCAGAGAGAGGGCTTGGGTCCAGGGGGCAGGGCTGAGAGGCATAGCTGTGACCTCCAAAAGCTGGTTAGAAAGGCCCATGGGAACAGGGGGAGGAATCCATCCCAGGGGCATTTGCTAAGTACCTGCTAAATACAAGGGCCCAGAGTGGGGCAGGGTAATATCTGTGGGAAGCTTGTAGTCTAACATTTATTAAGGGAAGCAATGTGCCAACCACTAATCTTGTGCTTTATGCATATTAACCTCAACCCTCTTGAGTATTATTTTAGGTTAAACTATTAGAAATTGCCATTTTTACAAGATACAAAATGGTTGAATGTTGGCAATTTCCTATATCCAACCTGATATTTCCATTTTACAGTTAAGAAAACAGAGGCCCAGGAAGGTTGGGTTGCCCCAAGTCACACAGCCAGCAAGGGCTGGAGCTGGGCTTTGAACTAAAGAGCAGAGAACTGAATGCAGCTCAGATTTGCCAGAGTGGAGTTTTCTAAGAGAAGTGGAGGAAGATAGAGCCTGGATGAATTACTGGAGTCAGTTTTTCGGGGGAGAACAAAGTACCAGAACAAAGATTAGGCACTTTATTTGCTTGGTAGTGGGAAGCATCAAAGATTTTCAGCAGGAGATCAAGGAGGAAGTTTGGGGGACTAATGCCCTCCCAGCTGGGGTGTGCAGGTGGAAGGGGAGCCAGGGTGACCAGCTGGGAGGTCACTGCAGCAGGTAAGCTGAAGTTGCTTCATATAACGTGGGTAGTAGCAGTGGAAATACAAAGGGGGAATATTCATTCAGCATAGGGATCCCAGGTTGAGAGGCCAGACGAAGTAAATATAAAAGATCTATTTAGACTGAGAATTCAAGGAGCTAGTCTGTGAAGTTGGGAAGGAGAGAGAGAAGACAGAGAGAAGTCGTGAAATAACTGTGTGCATGCATGAATAGAGAGCTGTAAGCAAGTGTGTATGCTAATGGGAGGGGCTGAGAGAGGGGCACTGGTGGAAGGGGCATGAGAGGGGGACAGGAGAAGGACCAGTGATATAGCCTAGCATTCCAGGGGACTCAAGAAAGGGCGGGGTGTGCCTTAGACAGGAAGAGGGACACCTTTTCAAGATGGCATGAAAGGAGGTCATCAACTATAAAAAGGAATGAAGTACTGACACATGAATAAACCTTGAAAACATTATACTAAGTTATACCAGACACAAAAAGCCACATATTGTATGATTCTGTTTTTGTGACATGTCCAGGATATGCAAATCTATAGAGACAGAAAGTAGATTAGTGGGGCCAGGGGCTTGGGGGAGGGGGGAATAGGCTTCAGGGGCGTCGGGCTTCTTTTTGAAGTGATGTGCATGTTCTGGAATTAGTGATGGCAGCTGCACAAATTGTGAATATATTAAAAACTAATGATGTGTACATTTTTAAATGGTTAATTTTATATTATGTGAATTTCACCTTGATTTTCAGAATGGAAAAAAAAGGAGGTCAGCTCAGGTATGGGTTTAGTTGAGGGAGTGGTGTTCATGATGGGGCAGATGGCCGGAAGGTGTGGGACTCTCTGGGAGGCAGCAGGCATGTGTACGTGCTGCAGGGATGGGACTTGGGAACATCGGGGCAGCTGGGAGTAGCTGCTCTGAGGAATGAGAGAAAGCACCCAGGCACACGGGGAAGGACTGTCAGGCAATGGCCAGAAAGCGGATCCACAGGGCAGCTCAGCTGTCTCCTCCAGGAAGCAGAGTCCCAGCTGTAGGTGTTAAGGAAGCAACTGGTCAGGTGGGTCTGGGAGAGTTGGGGTTTGCAGGAAGGATAAGGTGGAAGGACTGGGGCCAGGGAGGTGAGGTTCACAGCTGGATGTGAAGAAAGCGAAGGCATGGAGCAGTCAAGGCCTAAGGGTCTCAAAGGGCCAAAGTCTGATCAGCTGTCTTGGTACTCCCGGGGCCTGGCCCAAAACAGGCGCTTGACAATTGTTTGTTGATTGACTGAAATGATGAAACAAGGTGACAACTCTGCCTCTGAGAGTGGAGGGGACGCAAAAGTGGGGAGAAGGTCAGAGATGGAGATGCCCTGCTCTCCTAGGACCCTGAGACAGAGTATTCTTACCCCAGGGGGATGACAGGTGGTTCGGATATGCTGCTGGCTGGGCACCATCCCTCCTCTCAAGGCCTGGCCCTGCAGGCAGTGCATTGGAAGTCAGCTGGCCACGGGCAGCAGCGGTCGGGTAAAGGCGGACTGTGCGGGACAGCCCCACATGCTGTGGGGAGGGGTTGGTCTGGCTGAGCCCACTCAAGATCCTATGGAAACAATGGCAGTACAGGGGTTTGCAGCTGGCAGCAGAGTCTCTGTGCCCTCTGGTGCTGGCTGCCCGCCCCACTGCCTCGGCCCTAGAAGCATGCCTCTGTTTGGCTGCCTTCTCACCACCCACAGGCAGCTGGCTCAGGGACCTTGGGGTGCCCCGAGGCAGGGGCACTGAGCTAAGGCCTGCTGACTAGTTCAGTGGGAGTGCTTGCCCCTGTATGGAATAGCCAGGCTTTTGGTGGGTTATTCTGGGCAAGTCACTTAGCCTCTCTGGGCCTCAGGGCCCTCGACTGCAAAAGGAGGGCATCAGACTGGTCCCATGTAGCTCTGACATTCTGAGAATCTTCTTGACTCTTATGGACCAGCCTCTGCCCCTAAACTGAGTCCTTTGACTGCTCCCTGCTGCTTTTTAATACAACCCTTAACACAAATTACCTGTGGAATAGGTGCCCAACGAATACATGTTTACAGCTTGATTCTGGGGCAGAGCCTAGAATATCCCTCTCACTTATTTTTATTGTAAAAATAACAATGCTCAAGGGGAGGAAAACAAACAAAAAACGACTTCATCACCCTCCACCCCAACACAGCACTAATACTTTTTGTGCATTTCCTTTTAGCCTTTGCTCAAGTTATGCTATTGTCATCACCTGAGATACAATTTAAATTCTGTTTTTAATTAACACTAGTTCACACTTTACACAATTCTATAGTTTTCTTATTTATCATCTTAATTGCTACAGGCTAGTCTGAGGATGAATCACAATTTATTTGGACACTCTACTGTTACATATTTAGATTGTTTGAAATTTTTAGTCGCAGAAATTCTTAGACATATGGCCTTTTCCCTTCTGTTAAAAAAATTCCTTTCATATAGAGGAGTCATTATGCTAGTCTATATGTTTGAAAAATTCTTATGATAAAGATTTTGAGAAGAATTATTTTAGGATTAATTCCATGGACTAGAATGACCATATCAAAAGTTACAAACATTTATGGCTCTAGGTACCCACTGCAGTACCCTTTCTGAAAGGGTTGCATTAGCATCAAAATGTATCAATGTGCCGCTCAAAGTGCAACCTCGCCAACATAGCATATTGTTAATTTAGTATACTTTGCTAATTGAATAAGCATAAAATGGCACTTCCCTATTGCTTTTATTTCCTTTCCTTATTGGTTCCAAGGTTGAAATGTTTTTCATTTCATAGACATACATTTCAAATTGTGAAAACTCTGTTCACGTCCTTTGATATCTTTACTATTTAAGTTGTTTGCCACATACATCTAAACATTTTCTTTATGTGTTTATTATAGGCCAGGCCATTCTACCAGGCAGCCTCCATTGTAAATCTGCCACTGTCACAATGTATATGAACTACTGTATTCATGAGGTATCTGGACCATAGTGGAAGAAAGCGCATTATGGACATGGAAATTGAGAGAGGAATTACTTGTCCAAGGCTTCACAACAGGTAAGTTAGGGCCCCCAAATTCCAATCCAGAGCAGCCTGACTCCTGTGCCACCCAACAAACCAGCCCAGACCATGATGGAGCTCAGCCTAGAGGCCTATGCTCAGGTCAGCACCTTCAGCTCAGGAGGGTGCTTCTTCCCATAGTAAGTCCCACCCCTAGCCTCCTCTCCTTGGATTCCTTACCCAAGTGGGATAAGATCCTGGGACCTTCTCCCTCCACCATCCCTATGCCAGTTCTGTTGGCCCTGGGTATCCAGGCCATGAGCAAATTACCTCTTATCCTTTCCTGGCAGAAGCCAAACCAGGAGAGATGTCAGAGCTGGGCACCCCAGGCCTCCCCTGGTGCCCTCCAGCCCTCCCCCCAATCCTTGGCCTGGCACTTCAATGGTGCTCTTCCTTCCAGGGCCACCACCAGCAAATCCTTATCCTGATAGGCTCCAGCCGTGCCTCACCCTGATTCCTGAGTTTGGGGGCTGGTGTGGGAGAGAGGTCCTATTAGCCACCCCCAGAATCTCTGGGAGCTGTAATGAGCCAGAATTAGAAGCCCAAACCTCAGGCACCTGCTCCTCATTCCCGGGAGAAGGTGAGCACAACCAACTGTAGCAGCAAACACAATCATTTCAACAGCTCCCAAGGGTGTGCCCGAGAGAGGTGGGCCAGCTGGCAGGTCAGTGGGGGTCTCCTCCTAGTGCCTGGCTCAGCTTAGGGCCAGCACCACAAAGCACCCTAGAGAAGTGAAGGGAGTAGCTCATGTTCTGCCCAGACCACCTAGCACTCTTTTGAACTTGATCCTGACCAAAAGCTGTCCAATCTGATCAAGATGGAAACTCAAAGCATTCTTTCTTGGTGGTTTGTTGTCATTATTACTGTTGCTGTCACTTGTTTCTCTAATTGGAACTCAATGTTAATGACCCCATGATTCCTGAGTTCAAATCCCTTAGTTGCAGAGAAGAAAACAAAATAAAACCATGCATTCCCTAATGGTAGACAGGACCTGGCTGTACAGAGAAGAGAGGACAGGTTTTAGGCCAAGCAGATGCCAGTTCTGCCTCTTACTAGCAGAATGGTCTTGGATAAGCCTCTTAGCTCCTCTGAGCCTCACATTCCTCATCTGTAAACAGGAATAATGACGTCCACCTCATTGGGCTAATGTGAAGAATAAGAGAAATCATCTGTAAACAGGAATAATGACGTCCACCTCATTGGGCTATTGTGAAGAATAAGAGAAACAGTGAGACCATGTGATTATTTTGCAAATATAAGTAAATGGTCACAAGTTGAAAAATATGTCAGAATTTTAAAATCACATAACAAAGGAAAAGAAAGTGCTAGATATATTCAGACCAGATACCTCTCCTCAAGCCACTAAAAATTCTTCATCTAAGGAGAATGAAAGACTCCCCCCAAAACCTTGTTCTACTGTGATTTCATCAAAGGATACTGGTTCTCCAACTTGATGGTACAAGAATAGAACTTGCTATCTCTCTGGGATTCTTCCAGAGAAGTCTTGGCAAAGCTGCCATGATGGACCAGAACAGCTGTCTCTAAATTTCAGGATCTTATGGATCAGTATAATTTTGAACAAATTTAGGAGAACATAAAGTTGCCAACTTTTTATTTAGGTGACACATTAAAACACAAACACAAATAACTATCAATTATTGCCACCATAATTTCATGAAAGAAAATACATCTCAATGCCAAAAAGAAACATCTGAATAGGCTTAGCTTTATGGAAATATCACCACATTGATTTTATTTTCTTCATGGATCAGTGAAAACTCCATGACAGGCCAACACCAAGCCAAGGGAGAGCCACCAGGACACATGATCCACCTTTCTCTGCTCTAGCCTGAGGACTCTCAGACTTTTTCAACCAATTTGGGAAGGAAAACTTCCCACCCCAGCTGGCTGGGATCCTCAGCCCCAGGTGCAAACTGCCTGGACAATGCATACCCACAGTGATGCCTCTCAGTCAAATGTGGGGAGGGAGGGAAATAACAGCCATTCAGTGCCTCCCAGGTAGCAGGCATCATAGTACATATTTTACATGATAGTATATAATTTGTCCAAACAACCCTATGATCAAAATCCTCTACTTGGCCAAAACCAGCTGAAATAAGGTAAAAAGACAAATGACCAAATGGAGAAAATATGTGCAACTCCTGTCATGGCAAAGACCAATCTCCATAATATATAAAGAGCTCCTAGAAATAGAAAAGACAGACTGTAGGGAAAGTTGAAGTTCCTATGGCCAGGATCCTCACCTGACCCTAATCTGCTTGATAATATAATCACCCTCTGTGTACGCTGATGCTTACACACCCATTGGCAATAAGCCAGTATTGCCTGTTGCTTTATAAAGAGCTCTGCCCAGTACTTGGGGCAGAGCAGAGGCTGGAGATGGAGGCAAAGCCTGGAGTGGAGGCAGAGACACAGACAGGTTGCTAACTTGCCAGAGGTAGACATGATTCCAGCACTTGCTTGCTACTGTGAGACTAAAGCTTGGTATTGGTAGAAACCCTTTTACCCCTAACATTCCATTGTTGTTATTTGGTCTCATCGAATCCAGAGTGAACTTTCCTGGGGGCAATTCCCCTCAGACAAGACACAGACCAATAGCCCTAAAAGAAAAATCATCAAAGGAATACAAACAGTTCACAGAAAATAACAAATGTTTCTTAAACACATGAAAATATGTTCAACCTTTCTAATTCTAAGACATGAGAAAATGAAAACTACTCTGACATAGCATTTTAAAAATAATATTAGCAAAAATTCAAAAGTTTAAAATAAACTAACATCTTGCCAATGGGTTTCTGCCCTGAACAAGTTCACTACGGATTCAATGAGACCAAAAAAAAAATAACAATGGAACATTCCAGGGGGTAAAAGAGTTTATACCCAACTTCATTTCCACAGTGGCAGGTCAATCACTAGAATCCTATCTACTCAGAGTCTACATGCAGCAAGCCAGTCTCTACCTCTGGGCCTCTCTGCCTCCCCACTTGCAGCCGTCTCAGTCTCTGTCTTGGGCGCTGCCACCACTCCAGTTCTCTGCTTGCCCTGCAGCCGTTCAACACCCCAGAGGAGTGGGGAGAGCTGTTTATATAGCATCAATAACAATATATTGTTCATACATGTGTAGTGAGCAAGCCAGTCAGGGCCAGGTGATAATCGTGGCCATAAGAACCTTCATTTATTCCACAAAGAATATGGCAAGATTGTTATGAAATGGCATTCTAGATGTTGTGTGTAGGAATGTAAATTGATACAGGCCTTATGGAGAGCAATTTGGCAATTGCGTATCCACACCACATCTATGCATCTACGCTTTGCACCTGCAGTTCCACCTCTGAGATTATGCTGCAGATAAACTTGCTGTGGTACATGCATTGCTACCCTGCCCAAGTCCCCTTTGCAGCTGGTGCACTCGGGACTGACTTCTGAGTCCTGCTCTTGGCTGATGGTAACCACCTGACTAGCTCCTCCCACCACCATGACTAAGAAGCCAATGATTGCGT